ATTGAAAAGCGCTGTTCATCTATACAGATAAATAAAATTGAAGTGTCTGTTTGTAATGTTAAAACAACAGCTTATTTTATGAAATTGTGAACAAAAGCAAAGCAACCGTAAATTGCTAGTTATTAATAAAACGAGTACATTTAATAAATAAAGAATCTAACTGAAACACCCGCTTTTACATTCTTGTAAAACCTTATATACAAATGAACTTTAAAGCGGTATTTATAAAAATATGTTAATGCCTACCATTTTAATTGTTTGCAATGTGGGAGGCAAATATATAAACAAACATAACCCGTAGTTTGACTGATACGTCTTATCAGAGGCTTACTGCAATTTATTTATAAACAGTGATAAATTTAAAAACCGTCGTCAGAAGTACTAATTTTCTGTATACCTATATGTAATAATAAAATATTAACTTCAAGAAATTTCTAGGTATGCGTTCTTAAAAATGTATCAAGTAATTTCAATCAATTTAGCCTTTTAAACTTAATATTCGTTCCTGTACTACGACATAACATCATTAATTTATAATATTAATAAAATATTTACTTAATATTAAATTTATTCATTACAGTGTGTTATCATTTTTTATTTTCATAAAAGTTCTAGGTCATATATTTTTCTCAAATAAAAGTAGCCTAAGTTACTCCTCATAACATCAGTCAATACTTAGTCCAACCGTTTCCGGCGATAAGCCGAAACAAACAGACAGACATAAATGTGTTTTTGTTTATAAGTAGGTACCGTATATATCATATGCATTTAGTAAAAAGCCTTAAAGCTGTTATTTTGACATTACAAACAGACACTTCAATTTTATTTATCTGTATAGATAATGAGCACACAGTTTTGTGACATAATTACATAAAATAAGTAAATGTATTACGTATACGGTATAACTGCGAGGTATTGTGTATATATTAAAAAAAATTTAATACGTCATTAGTCCATCGTAATTGTGCATATTCTCACATATTTCCGCCTACCACTACACCGACCACTTTTACATGGGCAGAGGTATTTTATCATGCACAAAAAAATTAGCTTTAATTTGATATATAAATAATGAATATACGCCATGAACGTATAAATATAACGAAATATGACCTGCTTACACCTGGCTGCGAAGAGGTTGCGGCCAAGTGCGCAACGGCAGAGCCTATCTCTTTTCAAGTTCTCTACGTATATTTCTGTGAAGTGGAGTATAATTCATTTTAATAACAAGTGCATCGATTTGGTTCCAAAAATAAATTATTATTAATTTAATGAAACATACTAGCGGGCAGATTTTAAATTAATAGGCACCCGGTCAAAACATATTGCCCCTTTTATTATTGTATATATAAAATTGATTTTGATTAAATACGCTATGAACGTAGCAATCTTGCAGCCGGATCTTGATCCATTATATTTTTGTACTCTATATAGTCTGATAACGCTATGTGGGTCACGACTGAACCTTTGCAAGGTCAATTAGAAACGATTAGCAGTAAGCGATCATTAATTGTTTTATTTACACAACACTGTTTTGTATATATTTATTCTCTCGTTGTTGTCCTAGGATCGAATCGTTAAAATAATACGATAGCGATAAAAGCTATTTAATGACAATAATATTTTTTTAATATATAAATTTAGCGGTGTGAACTTAGCACCCGACTTTGGTTTTTTTTTCTTTTTTAGGTTTGTTTAAAAGATTTCTGTAAGTAGTGGATAGTTCATAGTAGTGAAGCTAACTTCGTTTATTCCCTCAACGACGGCGGGCACACCGGTGTTACAGTTAACAATTAATTTCTTAGAAATTTAATTAATTTCTTGGAAATTTACCTGGAGGAAGTAAGTATGTACTCTATAAACGTTTTTTAGTTTTTTTAGCGTTAATAGTAATCGTATAGACTTTAAAATTGAATTTATGTAGCAAATATCGTTTTGAAAAAACACTCGAGATTTTTTTTTCTATTTTTTTTTCGAAATAAATTGGATTACAAACCACAACTAACGTTTTTCTATAAGAAACGGCCGGAAAAAAAACATATCTATATTGTCTCTAAATTTTTTTGGCACTACAAGAAACGAAGTAAGTTGTCAAGTAAGCTTCACTGCTATCTACTATTTACCGAAATCTTTTAATCAAACTTTAAAAAGAACAATTTTTCCAAATCGGGTGCTAAGTTCACATAGCCTACATTTATATATGGAAATATACTGTACTGTTGGGAGTTCAATGACTAGCATTGTGCCTAAACTTTAAGCAGTTAAACAATAAACGTGTGTAATTAATTAATTTTTGCACGCTCACTTAAAAATTGTCAGACAGAATGGATCTCAAATACGACTCAGGCACCGGCTCTAAGATCTACATGACCTTAGAGCTTGCTTTGTACAACTTTAAATTTGTCTGTAAACTTTTAATTAATATGATACAAGTGAATAAATTGCGATCTTCTTTGGCCTTGGAAAATATGTAATAAATAACAATGTTTAAAACAATTTAATGGACTTTAATTATTTCGTAGATAGTTGGTGTAAATGTAACATACATATACAGGGTGAATTTTTGAGACGGGACAATAAGGGCTTACTAACCTTACCTGTTATAGTTACAAAAAAACGTTCCTACGAGCCAATCCATAACTTTTTGAGATATTCTGAACTGCATTCACAGATTTTGGAGAAAATGTACAGTCAGTGAAAAAAATGCTAAAATGAAAAAAAGAAAGATTTTTATGTCAATCGATCCTATACTTCATGTAGAGATCAAAAGACTACAGGACCATTTAAGGTATGAGTACTAGAAATGACAGAAATCACCAAAAATAGTTTTTCGGCTTACTGTGACGTTCTATCGAAAAATGTATTCTACAAAAGTTGTAGATCTAGTAGAAATCTACAACTTTTATAAATAACACTTTTTACAATAACCTCAAAGTTCTCGAGATATTTGCAGAAAACTAGGTTTTTAACTTTTTCTTGGTTTTTTATCTTTTATTTCTAAAATAATCCTTTGATTTTCATGAAACTAAGGGAATGTAATCTTAGAACTACATATAATAAATAAAAAAATAAAATGTTTAGCTATTTCCGAGAAAATTATGTTTTATGGTCTCGAGAGAGGCTGAAAATCACCCTCAACTTCAAGTGGACGTTTAGGTACATTTAAAAAAAATCGTTCAATTTTCAGATAGGGCTCATTCTTTTCGTCTTGAACTCTACTTTTAAATAATATAAAAACATTATATGATCGTCTTGTAAAAACACCCTTAAAAATAAAAAAAAATTGAGAAATCGATAACTTTTACTTTGTAAACTACATTTTTTTCAATTATCGTTGAAGAAGTGTACTTTATTGACAATTATAAACTGATTACAGCAATGTATTTTTCGGGAAAAAAACGAAAAAGATGGTGTCCTTAAGTTTTTAGTTTGACGCTTATCATTTATACTATGGTAAACATTCTAACTTTTCAATTTGATGAGTCGTGAAAAAATAATAAAAGTTGGAATTCACGTAAAGTACACCGCTGATTTTGTTTTTTTTTTGCCGTAGAATCTATTTATGTTATAGTTTTTTCGAATATATCGAAATTTTATTAGTTTTTGATCGATATTGGAGTTAAGTTTATTGATTTTTTCTGTTTTTTTTTTAGGATTTTTAGGTATTTACAGAAATAAATGAAATTCATTCATAGTCTTATAATCTTTATTCATTAATAAAAAATATAATTAAATAAAATTAAGTTGATGTTTACAAAAGTTAGTCATAATTTTGTTAAAAAATCATAAAAAAATTTAAAGAATGAACAAATCGGTGTCCTACTAATATATTAGTACCTGGGCTACCGAGCTTCGCTCGGAGTTTTTGGCCCACAGTACAATTTTTTTTTAAATTAAAAACTTAAGTAAATAAATATAAAAAAAAACAAAAGTAAAAACTTTGTATGCGACCGAGATTCGAACCTGGACACCTGTGATTGTTGATCTTGCACCTTGCCCGCTTGACCACGATGCTTGTGGCCGAGGTGTAAATTACCGACCATATTTTGCGTGGAATAATGCAAAAGAAAACTGCATGAAAACTCGGAAACACGCGTTTTTTCAGACATAAGATTATAATTCTTATGTCGATTTATCGCCCCCAACACCCCTGTATACTAAATTTCATGAAAATGGTTGGAACCGTTTCCGAGATTCAGATTATATATATACATACAAGAATCGCTCGTTCAAAGATATAAGATAGGTATTAGGTATATATAATGGGACACCGTACACATTGGAAGAAGCGAAAGTGTAGAGATCATAGTGCTTTGTACTCGATCTTCCTGCCTATACAAAGGATATCGGATAGCGCGGTGTGTGTATTGTTAATATGTATTATATAATCGGGAAAATTACATTTTTATTTACTCTAGTATTCTGCTTTATCTAGTATTCTGCTTTATCTAATATTTCTATAATTGCCTTAATATAAGACTTAAAAGAAAATTTTTGGTAATATAATTATATATACAAAATAACAATTTTTTGAATAAGAAATAAGATATCATACTCCATTGGAATAATAATGTTTTAAACTTTCCGTATAACATCTAGCTGAGGTCATATTGACCTTCCATTTTTCCTTGAAAAAGTAGAAAATTTTTGGCTGGTAAACTTCCTGTTTATGTTTTTAAACCTGAATTTTACCATCATTACTAGCATATCCAATGATCTTACATAATTCTTACAAATAAACAGACACTGAGGCTTACTTTCACATTGTTTTTTTATCGTTTTTGCAGTAATTAGGCTTTCGAAACCAGTGATAATTGTTTCGAGGAATAAATTAAAAAATAAACAATTTCCACCGTCAATACTAAATATGCTAATGACACTACAAAACACCCATTCAATCAATTTATTTTGAACGTGCTAATGTACTTCATAAGAAATATTTCATTGTACAATTTATTTTGGTGATGCGGCCAATTTACAAGGCTCCTATTCTGTTTCAGTATTATTAGAGGCGTGCCACAATGAGCCCTCATGTCTTCAAGACCACGCTGGTCTTGAGGCTATCACGCAACTCCACAGGCAACTCGACGACGACGCGAATGGCAACGTCGACCTTAGCGAGAGTGATGATGTAAGACATATATCCTTATTGTATCTGAAATGTTCGTTTGTTTATCTCTCTGTTTGTTACTGGGGAAACAATAATGAATGAATTTCTGTATAATTTAATCCAAAAGTAGTGTCCTAGAGTCGAATAAAAAATAGATTTTCCTCAAAAGACTGAAAAGTTTTTACGGTACAGCAGATGTAAATTAAAAGAAAAACTAGAGAATTTATTTTAAATGTTTCGAACGTTGTAACGGTTTAAATATATTATATAAAAGTGATTATATTTATAGTAATAAATTCACACCTACATCACTTCTATTGTCTACCACATAATATTTAATTTGTATAAAGCCTACATATATACAGGCATCTATCTCACTTTACACACACTAGTGTTTAGTGTAGTTTTTTCGGTTTCTGATGTCAAGACCGTTCTTGTGAAGGCTAGCGCGTGTTTCTGAAAAAAAAACACACCATTGTGTTTGAAAAACCACAGCAAACTACCGATCTGCTAATGTTCACATAAAATTACATTATAGGGAGTCGAATAAAAGTATTTTATTTTATATATTGTACGTCGCTGATAGATCTTTAACCTCAGAAACTGATTCCCTCTCATTGTCATGCGCGATATAACAGTGTGCTGGTTCCGATTGTTAACGAATTATATTGTAAAACTATGCGAGTAGTGTACTTTTACACTAAAAGCCGATAATAAAATGATACCTCTTAGAGAAAATCGAATTATTTTTTATTAATCAAATATTTATTGATATTAAATATAATACATATATTTAAATGTAAAAATATTTAAATCATTTACAGTTCCTCCGCGAAGAACTTCAATACGACAGCGGCTATGAAAAGCGTCAACGCGCTTTTCATCACAACGATGATATGCATATATCTGTTAAGGAACTATGGGAGGCATGGCTGAGATCAGAGGTAAGATATTTCTTAATTTCCACATTTTCCAGTATTTATAGCCAATACTTTTAGCCTAATCTAAAATTTTTATGAGACGAATAAAAACTTTAAAATTTTAACTTTTTTTTTTCAATTAATTACTAAATCAATTTTATAAAACACTCATCAATTTTATAGAACAATCGCCAAAAGTTTGAAGTAGTATTTTTTAACTTATTGTAAGAGGTTATAATACGATTTTAGAAATGAATAATTTGGTAATTTAGACTTAATACAATATTAACTCACCTCCAAGTAAATTTCTAAGAAATCCATTGTTAACTGTAACGCCGGCGTGTCCGCGGTCGTCGAGAGATTAATAAATGTCACGAATGTCAATACGTATAAATTAAAGGAAAATGATAAGAATTGCCTTAACAAGTATTATATTTATTAAACAATCAATGCATGTTGTGATTACCTCTAAAAAGAAATACAATTATACTAAGTTTAATTTATTATGTAAATTATCTTTTTATTACTGCTGTCATTTCTGTTGGTAATCGTAATAAATAAATAACAAAATTAACTTAGAGATATCCTACAAAACTGGTATATGATAAAGGATACTTAACCCCGAATTCGTCTTAAACTTTGTCCTTTATAACATTTTTTTGTAGTAAATGATATAATTTTTATTTGTAGGTTCACAACTGGACGGTTGAGCAAACGGTGGAATGGCTTTCAGACTCTGTGGATCTTCCACAATATAAGAGTTTGTTTCTGCAGCACAGAGTCACAGGAGCCACATTGCCTAGGTAAGAGTTATTTAAATTTTCTTAAAAATATTTCATCGCCCTATAAACTAATTCGTTACTTGAATAACTTAAGATTTAAGAAGAGTATAGGTATATTAGATACCAATTGAAGAAAACTTGAGATGAAAAACTTGAGATGTTGTCTAAAAATGTTATAATATATAAGGATAAGAAGAATATAGTAATAAGAAGGAAAAATTAGAATATATGTTTATGAAATACATAAAATTATGCCTATAATTGTTTCAGTTTTATATGGGATAGCTACCTTATTCATTAATTAACTGATGTAAATATTTTTTCAAAGACCAAACATTCTTAAAGTTGCTAGAAAACAAAGGACCTAAGCTTGCCAGAAGTTGAAGTCGGTGCCAGCCGACAATATTATAAGATATGAACTCTAATTTTAGTTAAAATAATATACATTAATTTGTGATGTATTTTACGTATCGGAATATATTAGATTTGCTTTGCATCGGCTAGCACCGATTTCGAAAATATCTGATTAGCTATCAATTCTAAATGAAAACCCCTGTTTAGTTATTTTTTTACATTTTAGTGCCCGGAAGTCGATTTTTTTTTAAGTTTTTATTATATTTCTAAAAATAGAAGAAACACATTGAATTTTGGGAAAATTACTTGTCAGTACAATAATGCCAAGTACTTAATCTGTATATTTATGTGCATTTTTATATAATGCCGCCACGTTTAGCAGTCAAGGTTGTTGACTGTTGTATGTATGTAGTGTCCTCAAGTTTAGGTATATTTTCCCCTTATTTGAATTTCCATAATCACTCTTCTTATTGCATAAATATTAATATAATTCTTGAAGTGCACGCTTACATGGATGAATTTTAGCTTTTTGAATTTATTTTTTTGTTAACTGTACAGCTTATTTTTGTTTTGTTTTCAAAAACGTATGTTTCAAATTTGTATGTAGAGAGGTCAATTCTGTTCATATACATATGTTTTCCTCAAATTTTCATTAATGATTGTCGAATTTCAACCACTGCGCAAACACTTATCAAAATAAACCCGCGAAAAAATACGAAATAAGGTAGATCGTATTTTTTAAAGTGTCAAATATTCGTGTAAATATATCGCGTAAGTTTCATTTGGCTTAGGATAAGAGGAAATCGCTTTGCGTTTTATATTTTATACTTAACTATAAAACTTTGGTTATATGGTATTATGACATAAACTTGAGATAAACGCTTGAATTTTTTTTTTAAATTTAGGTTTTATTTTATAATTAAACGGTTTAAAAAGTATTTTTTGAAGTGAAAACTTCTATATACAGGTTTGGATGGGGAGTAAATTCATGTAAGTCGTCATCGACATGGTCACGTGACGTGTTAACGCTACACTCACAGTGCCGATAGATGTCAAAACCAGATAAATTTAACAGTTTTAATTTACAAATTTTAATTTAAGATCAAACAATTAATTTGAATATTCAGAAAAAACTGTTTATTTATAGTTTTAAGTTTTCACTTCTGTCGGCACTCCTCATGATTGCTTTTTATAACTTTATTTTTATTTTGTTAAAGGTTGGCAGTAAATAACATGCAGTATGTAAGCAATGTGTTGGGTATCAAAGATCCCATACATAAACAGAAACTTGCGCTCAAAGCTATGGATGTGGTTTTATTTGGACCTCCCAAAGGTTAGTTTTTGTTTTTTTTTTAATTAATTAATTAATTTTTAATCTATTTATTGAAATTATTAAAATGGATGGCATATTATAGTAAGATATTAATATAAATTTTAATTTATTTATGGGATCAATGCCTCAGGTAAATTTTTTTATTGATATATACATAATTTATATATAAACCAGTTCACCGCGAGGCAAAGATGGGTATAGATGCACCCCCGTCGTTCTCAGCCAAATAATTCGTTTTGCTAGTTTAAACCAAATTTAATAAAAAAAATCTTATATAATTAGCTAATTTACGTTACAAGTAAAGGCGTAGTGCAAATTTTATCAAGTATTCTGCTGAATTTTGTGCTAAAAATAGTGAAACTGTGAGTTACTTTATTGTTGGTGAAGGGTATTCGTAACATACGACCGTGTCTTTGTCGCCGTGGGTCATTAACCTCAATACTCGATGCATCACATTGCCCGTGACAACATAGTCTAATTCGCCTATCGTCGCTAACGTTCGCTGGCGTATCGGTGCACACCTAGTGGCTTAATCGACACGTTCCAGGTTCAAACCCAAGTTCATAAAATAATTTTCGTTTTTTAAATTTTAATAATATACTTATAAGAACATGGAATTTGCTTGTTGCATCAAAACTACATGTGAAGCTCACGATCCTCTTATTTGTACACGTTGTGAACGAAACTTCCACGTCGATTGTGCGCTGCCATCTAAATCACTAAATTGGGAGCCCGATGAAAGCATAAGACTAATGTGGAGGTGCCCCTCCTGTGGCAGCGCCTCTCCTCGTAACAATAAAGACGATACTCCTTGCCGTAATGTTACAAAGCGCTCTAAGCCAAAGAGTGACAAGGCTACAACGAGTATTGTAGACAAATCCGCTAAGTCAAACCAAAAACCTTTAAGTCTTGCACAAATTACGGCGGAGGAGATACGGTCTATAATTAAATCTGAGATTAAAGATGCCCTGTCGTCATTTCAAAAATCTTTCGATGATCTTCGAATAGAAATATCCTCACTACGCAGTTCTGTGCAGTTTCTAAGCGACAGATATGATAGTGTCACAAAAAGATGGAATCTATTGAAGCGAAAATGAAAACAATTGAAGCTAGTAGATCGGAATGCTTAAACTTGCAAGGGGCCGTGTCCGCACTTCAGAACGATATTAATAAAAAGGAGCAATGGGCCCGACGTTCAAACATTGAGATAATCGGTATACCAGAAGCGAAAAATGAGAATTTACTTAACATAATTAGTAAAATTGCCGATGTTGCCGATGTTAAATATGTTGCTACAGATATTGACTTTATCACTAGAGTCACTCCAAAGCATAACGATTCAAAAAAATCTAGACCTATTATAATTCGTTTCCTGTCTCGATATAAAAAGGACGACTTTCTGGCTAGATTGAGGGAAAAGAAGAATTTAAAGTGTTGTGATATCGGATATGTAGGTAATAGCAATCGCATTTACTTTAACGATCACCTTACTAGTTTCAATAAAATGATCCTCCGTAAGACTAAGGATCTAGCTCGTGAAAAGAAGTTTAAATATGTATGGGTTAAGAACTGTTCCATCATGGTGAGAAAAAACGACACTAGTCCTGTTCTGCACATTCAGTCCGAAAATGATTTTAAAAGAATAATATAAGTGTTAATAATGTATTTATTGATTTATTGCATTTTTATTTCTATGTGCATGTACAATTCTTGATAAAATTTCTTAATATACCTATATTTTTATTTCGCAGTTTCAAGAGAGAGATGAATATTTTAATTAAACTATTTTTAGGTTTCTTTTTATCTATTTATTATTTGGAATTTTATAGATTTAATAAATATTTGTTAAATTTTTTAGTTAGTATTAATAATGTTTTTATGCACTGTTTTCAATGTATTAATATACTTATATTTTTATTTCGCAGTTTTAAGAAAGAGATGGATATTTTAATTAAACTATTATTAGGTTTCTTTTTATCCATTCATTATTTGAAATTTAATAGATTTAATGAATATTTGTTACATTTTTTACTTAGCGGTAATAATGTTTTTATGTATTGTTTTCAATGTATTAACTGGATGAATGCAGGGTTCAAATATTTTAATCCACTTTTAATGAATTATTATTTTCTGTCGATAAATTGTTGTTTCTTATTTTTACACTTTATAATTCTTAGTAATGTTGTTATAGTATTATTATATTTCAATGGATTCTAAAATAATTTTATTTTACCAAAATGTACGTGGTCTGCGTTCTAAAACCTCTTCATTTTTTTCTAATATATTGAATGTAGAATACGATATTATTTGCTTAACAGAAACATGGTTGTTGCCTGGTATTTATGATTCTGAGCTCTTTGACTACAGATACTCCGTCTATCGATGCGATCGTGATTATGATTCTCGGAATGATAAACTAGGTGGTGGCGTTCTGATTGCCGTTCGAAATGGCTTAACTGTGAGAGAAGTAACCGTTCAACCCTCCACTAATACTTGCTCATCAGATGTTATTACTATTTGTATAGGCATTAAGTCAAACAACAATCTTACCAACTTTCGAATATATTGCGGTTACTTTCCCCAATGTGCGTTGCAACTTGATGATCAAATTAAATTTTATGAACAAGTATCCGAAGCAATCATTTTAAATCCTAAAGACACATTTTTATTAGTTGGAGATTTCAATATCCCGGCCGCTAATTGGTCTCAAGTTGATGATACTAACGTCACTAAACTGTTACACACACCCAGAGATTCAAATTCTCAAGTTAGCCTATTATCTACTTTTTTACGAATAAATAACTTAAACCAGTTTAACATTATACCTAACGGTAATAATCGATATTTGGATCTGGTGATTAGCAATTCTAATTGTATTAGTGTAAAACACTGTGAAATACCTTTAGTTAAAGAAGATTCACATCACCCCGCTCTAGAAGTTGAATTAAGCAATTTACTATCTAACTTTCTCACGAATGCTCCACGAGTTGTTAAACTTTTCCGTAAAGCGAATTATCATGAAATTAATAAAAGGTTGTTTGAAATTAATTGGCCGGAGTGTTTTAAGTCTTTAGATATAGAGCGTGCAGTTGAAGTATTTTACGAAATCATTAATCGTGTTATTGATTCTCTTGTTCCCACTAAAATTGTTCTTGTTAATAATAAATATCCCATTTGGTATACCTCTGCGTTAAAAAAAAATTACTAAGGAAAAAATAAAAGTCCATAAAAAATGGAAAACTTATGAAAATTATAGTGACTATTGTACTTTTCGGATGCTGAGGAGGAGACAAAAAGTAGTTGATACCGAATGTTATAATAACTATCTGAAATACGCTGAAAACACAATTGCTAAGGACTCTAAATACTTTTGGACATTTGTAAAATCTAAAAAGCAAAGCGCTGACTTACCTGACATGTTTTACCTGGATAATTTTTCTACAGATAATGGACAAGAGATTAGCGATCTTTTCAACAACTATTTTTATTCTTCTTTTGAGCAGACTCCCATTAAGTATACCCCAAATATTAAAGTAGACGTTCACCCTCGCTGTAATAGCATGGACCTTTCTTCTGTTAATATTTCAATGCTGACTGTTGATAAATACTTAAAATCATTAAACATAAACAAGGGCTGTGGTCCAGACGGTGTACCTGCTATATTCTTGAAGAGATGTAATGAGAGCCTTAGATTACCCTTATTTATTCTTTTTACTCTATCTTTACGGACGTGCACTATGCCTTCTCAATGGAAAAGGTCATATGTAGTACCTATCTTTAAAAGCGGTGATAAGCATGACATAAAAAATTACCGTCCTATTTCGAAACTAAGTTGTATCCCTAAGATGTTTGAAAAGATGGTTTATGATACAATGTTACCCGTTATTAGACCTTTAATTATTGAACAACAGCACGGTTTTATTAACAGAAAATCTACTGAAACGAATCTTTGCGAATTCACTGATTTTGTTACGTGTGCAATGGATAATGGATATCAGGTGGACGCCGTGTACACAGATTTTTCTAAGGCTTTTGATAAAATATCTCACCTTATTCTTCTAGAAAAATTAAAATACATTGGTGTACACGGCGACCTTCTGCGTTGGATTGAGTCGTACCTTAGTAACCGTAGTCAAGCAGTAACTATAAAGGGTTACTGTTCATCTTTTATTCCAGTCCCATCTGGGGTACCCCAAGGATCCCATCTAGGTCCCTTATTATTTAATGTATACTTAAATGATATTAACCTAGTTTTCGAGCACTCCAAATTTTTACTATACGCTGATGATAATAAAATATTTAAAATTATTAAAGGTATAAATGATTGTATTGATTTCCAGAATGATTTAGATCGGTTTAGTGATTATTGTTCCAGGAATTCTTTGTTCTTGAACATTAAAAAGTGCAATGTTATTACTTTTACTAGAAAACGTTTAACTATTAATTACCAGTACAAATTAAATAAAGAAATTATTTCCAGAGCTAGTGTGGTTAAAGATCTTGGAGTTATAATCGACTCCAAGTTACTCTTTGATGAGCACGTCGCTTATATAGCTAACAAAGCTTATCGTATGCTGGGTTTTGTACTGAGGATATCCAAAGAGTTTAAGCAACCGTCAACACACATTCTTTTGTACAACACCTTCGTGAGATCTATCTTGGAGTATGCTTCTTCTGTTTGGAACCCTCAGTATAAGAATCATATTTGTAGAATCGAACGTATACATGATCGATTTATTAAGAACCTCCCAGTAAACATTTCTATTAATAATAAGAAAATTTCTATCCTTATGTCAGCAGTTGAACGACGTGCTCAACGAGATCAAGTCCTTTTGTATAAGATCTTGAATAACGAAATCGATTCGCCGTATTTATTGTCTAAACTACAATTTAAATGTCCACGAAATATTAATCCCAGACAAAAATCCACTTTTTATGTCCCTGCTACTAGAACTAAATTTGCAAAAAATTCATTTATCAATAGAAGTTGTGATCAGTATAATAATCTTTTTATTAGTAATGACATATTTCATCTCTGTCTTAATAAATTTAAAATTAGTGTTATGTACAATTTGATTAATGCAAGCTGTTATTGATTTTATTTTACATTATTAATTTAAAAATGTGTTATTTATTGAATTATATTCTAAGGATTTTATTGATTATTTGTAATTATTGATTGTATGGCATTTCTCTCTCTCTCTTTTAAATTTGTAAGTCTCTTTTTTAATTGCTATTTTTAATATTTTGCATCTGTATCCATGTCTTTGTTATAAGTGTTATTTTAACAACGGAAACTATTATTGGTTATGTATTATCAATTGTTTGTTATTCTATGTTTATCTTGTAACACCGTTTGTTTCCTTAATAAATAAATAAATAAATATTTATGTCAGTCAGTCTACATAAAAGGTGGCTGATTTCCCATCTATTACATACATTTACAAATGATAGTGAACAACTGAATGAACGGTATTGAAAATATCTGAATGCTAGACCAGTTTAATTAAAACATTTTTACTGATAAATTATAATCAGTGTAAAGGTTATACAGAACTTATTTAATTACATATTACATTTTACCAAAATGTCGACAAATTAAGTACCTAAATTATTATTATTTTTATTTTGATAAAAATGCAATCACGTTAAAATGATTTCAAATATTTTTCAATAGAAGCTGCGCCGCTATTATATTTTTTTAAGTAATGGCGCACAGTGATTTGTATAAATAGAGTACTCTTAAACAAAAAAATATATAATTGCTATATGGTGTGGTAACTTGTCACGTTTCTGAGGTATTTTGAGGTAAACATCGCCCGTATAATATGTTATTATGGAAACTCTTTATGAATACAAGTAACATATATTAACATGTAATTAGTACATTTTAGAGTTCCATGCCTCGAAGGGAAAAATAGAACTCTTATAGGATCACTTCGTTGTCCTTCCTGTCTATCTGTCTGTCTGTCTGTCAAGACTCTTTTTCTCAGGAACTCGTGGAAGTATCAAGTTTATAATAATATCGAATACTCTGGTCTGCAATCCCTTGGAGCTGTAAAAAAATTGAACTTTCTAAGTCAACACAATCGAATGATACGGTCGTTTATGCCGCATATTTTTACACTTGCAAGGGAATTAAAACCTATAGGGCACTTCCCGTTGACCTAGAAACATAAAATTTGGCAAGAAGTAATATCTTGCTATACAAGTAAAACAAAACATCTGAAAACGTACATTTGTAGTTATATCTCAATTTTTGTTTTTTTATGCGGTTATAAACTTATTTTAATGTTTCATGCTACGGAACCCTCGGTGTACGGGTCGGTGTTGCGCTTGTTCAATTTTTAAATATTGTTATTATTTTCATATGGCGATAGTTACCTTCAAATATTTAGGGGCACTATGATTCTGATATTTTTTTATTTATTTGTTCATTATACTTCACAAGTATGGAAAATATATAAATGATAGGATGCTCATAATGCCACCAATATTATATGCCCTTTTGCAGGTCGTAACATATATTTTTTTATTAAAACGTTATTTTTCTTAAGAGTAAGGCATTTCATATGCAGATTATTATTGTTATTATTGTACATATATATATATATATATATAATATATATAATATATATATATATATATATATATATATAGTATATTGGTAGAGTTCCTCTAGGAGAATGGAAGGTTCCTTTACTGAATATACAATTTTAACTTTTTTATATTACCTGCTAGCGACTTACTTATTGCGTCCCTAAACTTGAATGGTTTTTAAATGGAAAAGTCCAATGTTCAAAGAAAAATTCTTTTTTTCGCACCTAAATATTAACAGGCTTATACTTCTATAGTTTAAAAATAAATGTCTTGTAACCCTTTTGTATTTACGTCAATAAAGGTATTATTATATTATACAGAATAAGCCATCGAATCGGATTTATGGGTTAGGAACGTATTGAGGACAAACATACGAACAATATTTTTATATAGATTAATATAATAAAGTCATTATATAGTCAAATTTGGTGCTTTATATCATTGAAAATTATTTCCTTTAGATTAGACTTTGCGTTCTGAATTATGAAATTACGTGTAAACGAAGTTAAGGTCAGGAGCAAATATATTATAATTGATTATATAAATGTAACACACTGAATCGTACCTACACTTTATCAAAATATCTATAAATTATCAATATTTACAAAGACGTTAGTGTATTCTGGTAATCCTCATGTTGACTTTACGTAGTTGTCCTCTTTTTGACCAAACGATATTTTACGTTTAGTGTCGTAATTATATACGATTGAGACTACATATTATTATTTATGTAAACGTTGAAATATGTATTTAAATTATACGTTTTCATTAAATATCTATTTAAATATTTTTATTTCCTTTAATTAGTGTATATTAAGATAACAATTGGTTTGTTTAAAAAAATAACAAGTTTAAATTTAATATATAAGTATTATAATTAAATATAAGTATTAATTAAAATACCTTTAACTAAGTAATATTGAAGTCATTTTTTATCAATAAAATTGCTTTTGGAACTAAAGTATTAATTACTTATTTAATTAATTCAAAAAAATACAGTGATTTTTAAGGCTAGTGTCTAATTAAGTTGTAATTTCAATTATTATATAGAAAAAAATATTTTGTAATTTAGCAAAGTATGTATGTTCATAAATTTATTTTCCTCTTTTTATTCCAATTGTACTTATTTAAACAAATTCCGCTTATTTTACTAATTTAAATCATACAAACATGTTTGGTGCAAACCAGCGACCGATTCAGTTAAGTTAGCAGTAAACTACGACTCTACCAGACGGTTGCTATCAAATTAATTATAATAATAATATTTATAGTTAGCATTACTACTGATTAGTTTAATCTTATCGCTTAAAAGTAGAATAATAATTGGCAGCGTTAGATTTTTCAACGTTTTTAGTAAAATTTGCTCCTTTTTAAAACTTGAATCTTGTTGTTTTAGATTTTAATTCAAGCTCAACAAACATCGTTCTAACTAGATTTAACTTTAAATGAAAAGTATATCTTTAAATAATAAAATGATAGCTTTTATTAGGATTTAAATTAAATTTTATATAACAAATGAAATTTAATATAGATTTTTTATATAGAAATCTGATATAAAACATCATATAAAGTTCATTCTACTAATAATGAGTCCTTAAACTATAGTCAAAATTAAGTCGAGCTAATATGCATTTCATGAAAATTATAAAGAATGGTGTTGTATTTGTAACGAGATAAAGCGTTTGCAAGGTCCAATTAAGTATTCGTGTTGCAGTGCTGAATATTAAAAAAATATATTTGTTAGATATTCTATTTTAATCACAGTTCTTTTATAATTGCGAATCTTTGTGTATGTTTGTTACTCCTTCACGTTCAATAGTTTAGACGGATTTAAATGATTAGTAGGTACTTGTGTATGTACTAAAAAAATAAACTTTCATCTGGAATAAGGCATAGGCTACTTTTAATAATTAGCCAAAAGGTGACGCTGTTTGTGTACTCGTAAATACAAAAGGCACGGGGACTCGAGCGGAGAGAGGGTAAATCGCTAGTTTTATTTTGAAATAAAAACGTTATTATAAAGTAGTGAAATAGTTAACTTTTAATTTAAACATTATTATTATAAAGTATACTTTATTAATGTATTTTTCATTACTGTATGTATATTTTAATAATTACTAAAAAAATGAAGAGGTTATTTGAGATAATCTGGGGCTGATGTTAAGAGCTAACTAAGATCTTTTTAAAAGCAATAAGTAACTTGGTTGTTTAATGTAATCTATACGATAAAAATGAAATGCTATTCGTTCAATCATCGACTGGACTTTGTTTTACTGGTCGTTAAAGTCCAAATAAAGTTTGTAGAGGAAATCCGAAATATTTGAAAAAGTTGTGGAGAAATAGGAAATTCTTCGTAGAAAGTGAAAGCTTTTTTATAAAAATTTTGTATGACCTCAATATCATGAATAAAATTGATATTGGGTCAGCTAGTTAATTATAATTTTTATTTGCTTGTCCATGTGATGTTTATTATTTTGTACATGCTGTGAATGCTGTTTTTTGTTTTCTTTGATTTTTATAGTTGTAATTAATTCCCCATCTACGAATATGTAATAAATTAGTGATTTACTTTATTTTTTTAATATTTAATGTAACTTAAATATTAAAAAATACATACTTATTTACAATCGACTTTATGACATTAATTAAATTATGTGTCGGTAATTATAATATTTAATATAAACTTTTCTAATAATGTTGTATAATATTTAAAACTGTTGTTATTTTAGTTTATATATTTTTTTAAAGCTAGTAGGTACTGCCGGCACTGCCCGCATGTGTACTTTAATCTAAACCGGAATATATTCTACAATGCATTATTTTACATAATGCATGATTTATTTACATGATGACTTTCTAATATTTTTATATCCTATTAGTTTACCAAGTTACGAGTTTCCGACTTAAAAACTTATTATTACTAAAATTTAGTCCATACTACTCTTGGATAACGAAGCTTTGATATGGTGAAAAATTCATCAAAATCAGTTCAGTCGCTTCGTTTATCGATTAAATACTAACGAATAAATCTCTACTCTTCATAATATAAGTAAAAACGGCTACCTATTTCTGTCTATCTATCACAATACAATCGCTTTTTGCCTGTTATAGATTATACAATAATTCATGCGGTTTCGAAGTGTTTTATTCGTTTCCATTCAATGCTCGACCTTGACCACTAATCTCGATTGTATAAAGGCTGCGGTGCGGTACACACACAACGTTACAGATGTTATACATATATAATATGTGTTATTTGAATATTTCATATTTTGTGAATTTTTAATAAGGAATTGATGTGTATGAAGCTTATCTAAAACCCTATTTGCGGTACACTTCATGTAAAAAAATATTAAATATTTAATTTCTAGAAGGTACTGAGATATTTTATTTTAATAAAATTTCTGCCGCCGACTTTGTTCTAATTTCCATTATTTAATGTAAGACGCGAGCTCCTCAATCGGATTGATAATTTCATCTTTGACTTAATTTAAAAAAAAAACGTCAATGTACCTAAGTATGTAATAATATGTCTTCAGTCCCTTCGCTCAGATTTGTCTCTAGAAAAACAAAAACAAATCTATCCGGGAACCGTACATTTTTCCGGGATAAAAAGTAGCCTATATGTTATTCTGATGTATGAGCTATATTATTGTAAAGTTTCATTAAAATCCATTCAGTAGTTTTTGCGTGAAAGAGCCCTACATCTATACCTCCTGATACCCATCCATACATCTCCAAACTATCACATTTATAATATTAGTATGAATGTAGATGAGTTATGTTACTTTGCGAAATTTTCAAAATAAGCTGCTTCCATGGAATGGACCACGAACGAGCAGGAAACAATTTTATTATTTACCTGTTCACGCTAATGGAACAATAATTGTGCAATTTTTTCATAATAAACGACATCTAAGATGAATATTTTGTTGCCAATGTCACCGCGAGATTTTTTTATTTTATTTTAATCAGTTCCAAAAGAGGAGATATTCAAATCAGCTTTATTATTCCGTATTTCTGTCCATTTTTTTTATTTAATATCTGTAAGATCTTCGAATTTAAATATGAAAAAATCTACCCCAAAAACTGACAATTGCACTTTAGTTGGGATGACTATTTACATTTTTAAGTTTATGCATGCACGTCGACGACACGTTTGGCTCTAGTTTGTAGCGACACTTGTTGTGCCAGTGCTCGCGGCTTCGAGTCCCGCTGGGGGCATGCATTTGTGATTTGTGATTTTAAGTTTATGCATGCACGTCGACGACACGTTTGGCTCTAGTTTGTAGCGACACTTGTTGTGCCAGTGCTCGCGGCTTCGAGTCCCGCTGGGGGCATGCATTTGTGATTTGTGATTTTAAGTTTATGCATGCACGTCGACGACACGTTTGGCTCTAGTTTGTAGCGACACTTGTTGTGCCAGTGCTCGCGGCTTCGAGTCCCGCTGGGGGCATGCATTTGTGATTTGTGATTTTAAGTTTATGCATGCACGTCGACGACACGTTTGGCTCTAGTTTGTAGCGACACTTGTTGTGCCAGTGCTCGCGGCTTCGAGTCCCGCTGGGGGCATGCATTTGTGATTTGTGATTTTTAAGTTTATGCATGCACGTCGACGACACGTTTGGCTCTAGTTTGTAGCGACACTTGTTGTGCCAGTGCTCGCGGCTTCGAGTCCCGCTGGGGGCATGCATTTGTGATTTGTGATTTTAAGTTTATGCATGCACGTCGACGACACGTTTGGCTCTAGTTTGTAGCGACACTTGTTGTGCCAGTGCTCGCGGCTTCGAGTCCCGCTGGGGGCATGCATTTGTGATTTGTGATTTTAAGTTTATGCATGCACGTCGATGACACGTTTGGCTCTAGTTTGTAGCGACCCTACTAGCTGTGCCAGTGCTCGCGGCTTCGAGTCCCGCTGGGGGCATGCATTTGTGATTTGTGATGAGCACGAATGTTTGTACTCTAGTCATAGCTTACCATGGAATTAGATAGTGCTGAGTGTTAATATTCCAACATATTTATTTATTCATATGTATATATGCATTTAAAATGTTTAGTTATCAAATACCTATACGCAGCAATCTATGTACTCATGTTTATTATCACGTCAATCTTTTGGAGTAACACAAACAGGGAGATTCGCATAGTACTAAGTGCTGTCTGACCGACGAACTTCCTCAACTTGCCTCAAGATGCGATTTCTGTCACATCACACGAAAGATGTTTACTTATATAAACCAAACAGTAAGATCACTGCTCTGATTATTATTTATGTGTCTCAACAGAGGAAAATAACATAAAAAAAATATCTTATAAAATATGTTATTATATTCCTTATGAAAATGAGTTTAAAAACTATATTATGATAATTATATAGTACATACATGTTTGTCGTACATATGTATATACTAGCGACTCGCCCTTGCTTCGCTTCGGGTTATGGACGACCCTAGACAAAAACAAATCTGTCCCACGGGAACCGTACGTTTTTCCGGGATGACATATAACCTTATAGCCTTTCTCAATAAACGGGCTACCTAATGGAAAAATAATTTTGCAAATCGGATTAGTAGTTTCTGAGGTTAGCGCGTTCAAACAAACAATCTCTGCTTCTTTATAATATTAATATAGATGTGCAATAAAGATGAACCTTTATCGCAGGGAAAAAATAACATGTACCACTACGGTCTACGAACATTATCTTTATTATTACATAGTTAACGATGTTTGAACAAATATTTTGATTATAGGTGGACTTAATTTCATAATGCTATTATTTTTAAAGTGTATTAAATCATAGTTGTAGGAGCGCCATTATTTTAAGTAATATAAGACAATTTCTATAACAATGCAAAAAAAATGGAATTCTAATAAACATTTTTGTCGTCGTCGTCTTAGCCGGAAGGCGTCCAATTGGTGGACATAGGCCTAATGAATATTTTATTTTGTTAAAATAAACTAACTTCTGATGAAATATCTAAGGTTTTTTTTATTTTAAAATGATATAAAAGGACCCTACAAAAAGTCAGATCCCGCAAGTTGCAACTTTAAAAATTTAATTTTACCTACCTCAATAAAAACTAAATACTTACTTCCTACTATAATACATATTATAAACGCAAAAGTTTGTGAGGATAGATGAATTTATGTTTATTACTCTTTGATGCAAAAACTACTAAACGGATTTTGATGAAACTTAACAGTAATATAGTTTATACATAACATATAGGCTATAATTTATAAAGATATATGTAGTTAATATATTATTGAAATACGCAGGCGTAGCCGCGGGAGAACGTTAGTGGTAAATCTTTGAAAGAGATAATAATGTTTCACGTGTAGCAAAAATATGTACAATACTGTCATTGAAGATTTACATCGTCACATAATCGCAGCACCCAGCTAAACTGTATAGTAATTAATACCAATTGAACGCCGGTCTATCATACATACCAGACTTTTTAGTGAGTAATATAAATGTTAATTGCTTCGTATGATCTTTAATGGTACAAAGATATAGAAATGCATGTGCACAAATTAGACATTAGAAGTTAATGACTTAAAGTTAAGTGGGTATTTTGTTAATTATTCATAAGTATACATAACTAAATTTCACGAACTGTCGGTTAATATTTAAATAATAATAGTGATTTGTAAATTTGTTATTAAATGTAAAAATTGTTTTTATCAAAATTGCATTAATTATAGTAATTGAGGCTAAAAAGACATAAAATACATATAACAATAAATCAACAAATGCTCTCATCACAATTAACATTACTCCCACAAATCAAATGAATCATAGTGTCACTACTCTTACATCACGCGTCTAACTATTACTCGTCTCATTCAAGCACAAGTTTCGAATGTCGAATGTCCATTTTATTTAAGTTATTTCGTGTTTATAAGTTATATAAAAATATTAACTAAATGCGCAAGGTAGTGACAGTATGTATCGTGATGAAGGCTCGTTCTAAATGGTGCTCAAGTTTTTTAGTGTGGAAGTGTTAAAGTTTGTTCAATTTCTGATCAGCGGTCGATATGTGGACTTGACAGATGAAGGTTTATTGATTATTTTATTTTTTATCTATGGAATAATATAAGTGCAGATTAGATAAAATAGATATAAATCTTGGCGGTGCTACTGAATTTGTTAGTGTCCCTCTGTATAATGAACCACTCATAAGTGCGATAAGACTTTAATTGAGTATCCGAATTTATTCGAGTGTTCATCAAAGTATTATTCCGAATTTATCTACATTTTAATTTGTGTCGTAAATAAATTCAATATTGCTAATGAGATGAGCTTTAATAATTTATGATTTATTCGGAATATTATGCTAACTAAGCAAAAATCTCGCCGACTCCATGGCACCTGTGTACACAACACAAGTAACGAATTCAATTGCCGCATAGATTAAGTAAAATATTGTACCTAGTATTTTGCATTACTTCGACATCTTGACTCACTCTCTTCCAGATATAAAGAAATGCAAATACAAGGGACTATTACTTATAACCAACATATAAGCCGCAATACTCGAATACTATATTTTTCTTTTTCTCTTTTGTTAAATTATATTTTTATTGTTAAAACTTATTAAAATATAAGTACCAAATATTTCCAATGAATTGTAATTAATTGCTCATTAGTAAATCATTTGATTCGATATGTCGTCATAAAAAAAACTTGTTACGCCGTAAACGTTTGTAAACAGTTATGACATTGACCATTGTATTGTAAAAAAATTGAGTGTTCATCTCAGTAAGACTCTAACCTCATATTTACATAGATTGCCTTCATGTAAATTCCATTTAAAAATACAATGCATCGTTAAATGCTAATTTACAGGAAGAGTAAAGGTACAATTATTACAAATACTAAAGACATCTTGATGGTAACAAAATCGTTAAAACAAACCTACATACATAAGTTTTTACATGAATTATATATATTTTAATCATCAATTAAGAAAAATTATAATCTAAAGTAATATCCTTATAAGGATTTCTCTTTGATAATATTTTATTTACTTATACATTATTATTTATGTAATGAAATATATTTTTTTACCTTTCCTGAAATATAAGAGCTTTTAATATTAAAAATATGAAATGATATTAAATATATTATAATTAAATCTAAATATTTCAATTTAACTATTTAAGACATTGTTGTTTTACCGGTACATTTTCCTGCTTGCGTTGCGGCGTGTTCCTCGAGGTAATTAAACAAGTTATATATTATGAATTGCCATTATATTATAATGGTTAAATGAACTTGGGTTATGCATGGGTTGTAAGTAAATTCGTAGAAATCCTCTAGTGGTGGTCAAATCTCGGTTGCTTTGCTTTACATAGATGTTATGCCATAAGTTTTATTTCTTAATAATTTTTTAAATGCAAAAATTACGAGGAATAATGGGCTTTTTATGTGATCCATCTCATTACCCACTTATACTTTGTTTAATTCTGTAATCACTCAAATATTTCCTTTTTACCTTTCCAATAAATTAATAATACCAACATAACAATTACAGCTTTTTTTTATTTAATTGGACAAAGACTTCACTGTACAAAGCAAACATAAGAACTATAGCTCCTCTGTATTATAAATGACATAATTTCTTAAATTGTCTGAATAAAATAACGTCAGCTTAGATATAAAGTGGGAACACAGTCTCTTATTAAACGATCAACAATATACAGCAAATTAAACACAGTATATTTTTGTATATATAAATATTTATTATGAAAGCACTTCGCACTTTAAGTCTAAGTTAATGAGCAAATTTGATGGAACTGGAACTGGGAACACCTTAATTTTAGTTTAATAGAACACCCACGGAATGCCGCTTATATGTATATGATTCGCATTAAAAGTTAATTTTTGTTTTTATATTATAATTTATGACTACATTCTATAGAAGGTAGTCGATGGAAAGACTGGCTACTCGCATCGCTGCTATTGGGCGCCGTTGTCGGTGGCTGGGCGGCGTTGAGGGCGGGACGTGCAAGTCGACACCAAGTGCAAAGGATGTTGAGGGACATGGAACAACTACGAAAGGCCGAAATGGCACTAGATAATATGCAGAAGGAACTCGATAAGGCTAAGTTAGAACAGGTATTACTGATTATTTATTATGAAAAGTTTGTAGATTTTAGTGAAAGGCATATGTTTGAGAGTATTTGTGTTTGATGAAAGTATGTGTGTATATGTATGTATAATGTATATATTTGTTTTTTTGTGTGTGTATTCATTTGTAGATCTCCTTAAGATTGTTTACACCCCTTCCTTCTCTATTTCTTTTACTCTACCAAAAGTTCTAACGATAAGGCCGCCTAATAATTGTAGAAATAGTAATTTCTCTTTAATTTGTTTCAACTATGTAATGTAAAATAATTGTTTGCAATATTTGATTTGATTAAAGTGACACAATTTAGTTATTTTTCATGAAAATATCTTCGGATAATATTTTATTCAAGTATGCCCTTACACCAAACAACAAAATAAGAAAGTAGCACAGATGCTACATCTTGATTTGTACGAGTATTTACATAAATAATAATAATTAATTTTGTACTTTACCTAAACGTTTGACACAGTTATTAAAATAATAATAACTTTATTGATTGATTTTATTGAACTTTATTGAATAATAAATTGAACAATAGAATTAAAAATCAGTATAAATATTAAAAAGTTTAAGACTTTTATCGTTTTAAATGCTTATTTAACATAAAAAATGTTATTTCAGGAAAATGTGACAACAGAAAAGAAAAACCTAGAAAAAAAGTTACAAGAAGCTGGCGATACACCTCTCCTGAACTCCGCCTCGTCGGATCTTGAAGTGTCACAGTTGAAAGCAGAAATAGAAGTTAGTTATTTAATATTTTTATAGGTATAGTAGTATAGATCTACATTCAAAAGATAGTTTATAATATATGCCACCGGGATTTAAAAGTTTCCCTACAGTACTCACAGTACAGAATATTAAAATATTTAGACAACTACTTCTCTTACTCTAGCATTTGCACCTGGATATATGTATACCAACTCGCGACTCACCCTCGCTTCGCTTCGCATTCGTCCCTAAACAAAAACAAATCTATCCCACGGGAACCGTACATTGTTCCGGGATAAAAAGTAATCTATGTGCTATTCCAGACTATAATGTATATCTGTGCCAAATTTCATCTATATCCGTGCAGCCGTTCTGGCGTGAAAGTGTAACAAACATCCATCCATCCATACATTCATCCTCACAAACTTTCACATAATTTGTATAAGTAGGACTTTCATGAGAATCAGACCTATTTAGCGCCGTCTATGTGCCGAATTACAGTAAAATAAATGGCATAAATACCGTCTATATACATACGTATAAATAAAGCAATATTTGAAGTGCATATTTAGACGGTTTGCGTTTTTCACAATCGAACATTTTTTCAAACACATTTTTATTTAATTAAATAGATTTTTTGTTTTCCTCTACAGTATAATTTTTTATTTGTGTAATGCCGTACATAATTCTATTTAATTTTATATTTTTTTCTACAAGTAAGTTAGGTTCTAAAAATTTCAATGTGTCTAACATTATATATAATTATATATAATATTATACACATACATCTAATTTGACTTATGAAATAATACTCTATCATGTCCTTGATGTATGTTATTATTATTTTTTATTACGTTACCACTGCATAATATGTTATGAAGATTTTACAATATATTACTATTATTATTAACTAATTTATTTAATTGTTCATATTTTAAGTAAGTTATTTTTAATTTGTTAGATTTTTGTTTCATTTAATATTATTAATTCAATTATATTTTACATCTTCTCTCCTAACTTTCATATATGTATTTTAGTGTAAATATTAACAGTTATTAAGTAAATTATGACAATATATTAATTATAGATGCTCAGAGCTGAACTAAGGCGGGCAGAAGGTGAACTAGAGGACAGATGCTGGGCGCCGCCCACCGGCCTGCAGCAGTGGTTGCAACTGACTCACGAGGTTGAGAATAGATCGTACATTAGGAAGAAACAGCAAGCAGATATGCAGTTGCAACAGGCTCGAGATGCGGTTAGTGCGGTTTTTAAATCCGGTTTTTAATATTAGTTTTTCCCTTTTAATATTATACATTAGGGTGGCCCAAAAAAAATCATTTTTTTTCGAGTCTCTTACGAAAATATGTTAGTTTATCATATTATAAGAACCTTTTAGGAGCCCCCTTCAAAGCGCAGTTCAAAAAAATGTTTATGAGGTCGCTCAAAGTTTTTAAAAGTTTCCAAAATCATTGAAAATCGATTTTTTTTCTTTTTCTTTTCATTATTTCACTATTTTCTACTATAAAAATGAACACGATTCTGAAATTTTCAAGTCGATATTTTAATATTTAAAGGTCGCTCAAGATTTTTTTGTTTCCAAGTATAGTACCTTTTTCGAGTGACTTCTGAATATTAATAAAACCTTTTTTTAAATTGTTAGTAAGCAGTTCGAATTTAGAAACTTGAGGGTATGATCCCCTTGCCTTATAATACCGTCCCATGGAAAGACTGTCATGGGAAGACTGGCTGATAAGAGTGCTGTATGTTAGCGTATTTGAGGATATATCCCGAGTATATAGTAGGTCTTTATAACTTCTTACGTCTGACTGCTATTCAAATTCTCTCTAGAAGGCATTGTTTAAGCTATTAAAAAGGATATAGTTTTAAGTTATGTCACTATAATTAACATATTATACATTTAGTATGACTTTTACATGATGAAAGTTATAATTTATCAAATTTTGTCTGTGGCTCGCTAAATAAGTACATAATAATCTACCTCCATTTTAGATTTCACTCAATACCTTAGCATAGTATAAAAAAGTAAAAATCAATAATAATATATTTATAATAATTATATGTTACAGTGCGAAAAACTACGTAAGAAGCGATCTAGTTTAGTTGGAGCGTTTGTATCGACGCATGGCAAGTCTATAGACGACGTGGATAGGTCCATCGTCGAGGCGAGGACTGCTTTGAATGAAGTCACGCAAGAATTACAGGTAATTATAAGTTATATATTCAATATTAGTTATAATAATTGATATTTCGCAAAAAAATCGATTCCGATTATTCATGAAATCGTAGTGAAATTATTTTACGCTGAGCCTTCCCAATTAGCTTACAAAGATTTCTTATATAATATGTATGGTAACAATAATAAGGTGAATATATATATACATGAAATAAAAAAATATACACTCGAATTGATTATATCTGTCTCTTTTGAAGTCTAGTATGTTAATATCTTTATTAAATATAACAAGTTAACTTACAAAATAGCAGCCTTATCGCTTAAACAGCGATCTCTTCCAGGCAATGGTGAGGTGTAGGATATGGCAAACTGTAAGTGGGATTTGGTGTGAGCAATGGTAGTGTATGATACTACTCTAAATGATAAAATTATTAGAAATTACTAATACTATATAGATATAGCAACGTATAGAAGTGAGGTAAAATAAAGATGTTTTTTTTTCTCAGCCATTTAATTATATTATCAATGTTAGCAAATTCAAAATTACTCAAACGAGTACAAAAATCGAATTCATATTTTTTGAAAAAGAAATAAAAAAATAAATATTTTGGGACGACATTTAGTTCCATGGTAAACTACGAGGCTTGTGTTATGGATACCAGGTAGTTGATACACTACACGTACATAACTTTAACTACATACATATTATAAATATAAACAACAATGACTGGAGTACAAACATTCATGCTCATTACACAAATAAATTCCCCCAGCGAGACTCGAACCCGCGACCGCTGGCACAGTACAGAAGACACTACAAACTGAGCCAAATGTGTCGAAGTCTTTTTAGTTCTTTATAAGTATATAATATATTATTGTATTATATGTAATGGAATTAGATTATTATTTAATAACATTTAAATTGTTTCTCTTTGCAACTACGAAAGAATTGTGCGGACTTAATGTGGGTAAGAGTGTGTATTACCATTTAGAATTGTATTTTTTACTTATGCATATTTACTTTTCACAACAAAATTGCACTTGAAAATGAGTATACAACATACACTGGCAACACACTGATGATGATGGATATAAACAATTGTTTTATTTTTCTTTTATAAAGCTGAATTACTGCTACTTGACTTAGAATTCGGTATTATAAAAGAAAATATAAAACAAACCAACGACGTCACGGTTACAAGATAAAAATAAGTCATTAAAATGCACGGACGAATTTGCCATATATTTTATAATGCGAGAGAAGACAATGGACTGGAAACAATGGATGCATTAATGAAGAAAATCACTACATAATTACATAGCGCCAGATATAAATAAACTATCACGTGTTATTTAAGAAGAATATTTTATATGAAGAAATGGAGTTTTGCAATCGATATATGAAATAAATGGCTTATTGATAAAGAAAACTGCTAAAGTTAAAATATCTCGAACGAGTATATTCTTGAGCTGATATATTTACTGGAAGAAATTAATTAATATAAAGGTGATAGATTCAGAAGGATAAATCAGCAAACAATAGCAATTATAATATTATTTATAGCATATAAATCGTAGTGTAGTGTTTTTATTGATTATGTGGTTTATTGCATGTTTATATATATATATATATATATATGATGAGTTTAAATTTGATTGTGTTAATATAATATGTAATTATTTTTAGGAGCGTATGCACAGATGGAAACAAATCGAGCGACTCTGCGGCTTCAACATCATCAACAATAACGGTCTGCAGTTCCTAGAAAGTACTTTGTATAGAACGGCCAACGGACGTCAAGGGAGAGGTGAATACTTTATTAATTCAAACTAACACTTTGAGATAGGTGAGCGTAAACTAATAAATGAAATATTAAAGTGTGTTTGTCGTGGTGTATGGTGTTATATGTAACTCTTGTGTTTATATCGTTGCCTTAGCGCGTGTTTGTTCAAACCATATGTTGTATTTTACATTAGAATTTTTTTGCTCTTTTTTAAAACAAAGCTTTATTTCTACGATTTATATACATACTAACTACTCACCGTTGCTTCGCTCGGGTTCGTCCCTATGTAAGTATACTAATATTTTTATAAAGACGCAGAGTTTGTTTGTTCAATCATAAATGTCAACAAATCGAGCACACTTCCATATATATATATATATATATATATATGTATATATATATATATATATATATATATATATATATATATATATATATTATACTAGCGACTCATCCTCGCTTCGCTCGGGTTTTACGATTAATATGAAAAAGATAGATTACCTATATGTTATACTACTGCTCCGCTCCCTTGGACAGTAGCATGATGATATATAGACTATAGCCTTTCTCATCATATCAGGCTATCTAATGGAAAATAATTTTTCAAAACGGATTTGTAGTTCCTCAGATTAGTGCGTTCAACAAAACAAACAACCTCTGCTTCTTAATAATATTAAGTATAGATATAGGCAAAGTATATCTTTTGCATTTTTAAAAAGTAAAATGTGTATTTAATACCAATAGAATTGATATCTAAAAGTCAATAATTCTGTATTAAAAACCATTTCGGTAAATTGATCGTTTGGACAAATAAGTACTGGAGACGCTTATTTAACATTTTATTACAATTATTGTACGCGTCGATCAAAAATATTAATAGATACGCAATCAGCGACAAAAAATGTCCTTGCCAAATGTTCAAATGAGCGATCATTTGAACATTTGAGCGCGCTTTTAATTGTTTTTTTTTGTGAACACAACTTTAAACATTGCATTTCAGGTTCTATTTACATGGTTGTATATTTATTTCAACTAGAATAATTACCTTGGCTCCGTATGGTACACAATTGGTGACAGTTTTAAGAGAACTTTTTTTTGCGATTGTGTATCTAGTACTTTTTTGATCGATGATTGTAACGAATGTTACAATATGTCATAGAATGTTAAATGTTATATCGTTGGCTTACTATTACAAGGTTCTATGTTAATTTTAATGAAGTTAAGTAATTTTTACATAGAACTTCGTTATTTTGTTATCGTAAAAAAAACAACATTAAACTATGTAAAATTGAATATTTTGTAGTTATAGTGCCGCTATCTAGTGGTTTGTTTTTGCAAAACTGTAGCTAATGACACATAGAACCTAGTAGCATTAATAACTAAATAAGTACTAAAATTGTAACATAAAACCTTGTAATAGTGAGCCAACGATATGTATTCGCTCCTAAGTTGATAAAGCTTCCAACATTTTGTATGCCACTTGAAAGTGTTTTGTAATCATCAACATAAGGTTTTAATTTTTTATAACCAGTATAACTTGTTGTTTAACGTTTTATTCCATAATGTTATATAACACAGAAATAATTTATAACTTGTAATATTATGGGATAATATATTACACTTTTTGACATACTATAACTATTGTATGAAAGCATTTTTACTTTTAAGACGAGATTGCACGCTAATTTCAGAGTTACTTTAAAATTAGTTTTGCAATGACAATTTCTTTGAAAATTATCTATACTAATATTATAAATAGGTAAAGTTTGTGAATTTGTGACATTGTATAGGATAATCTCCGGATCTACTGAACCGGTTTAGATGAAATTTGGTAAGAAGATAGTTTGAGACCCTGGGAAGGACATAGGATACTTTTTATTCCGATTTCCGGAAATCATCCCTTAAGGGGGAAATAGGGATGAAAGTTTGTATGGCGAAGCAAGTATAATATAATAGTCGATTCACTAGTCACAGTGGTCACAGTATAAAAATATATTTTTTAATGCTGAATAAAATATTTAAAATTTTCATAACTAATATATATGTAATATTTTATCCCCAGTCCGTATGAGCAGTTCGCAGGACGACCTGAGTGTGGGCGACGACACCTCCCTCTGCGGCTCGGGTAAGTTCGACGACGGATCTCTATTTCACGAACATTTTGAGTAGATTTGTATAAATTATACACTGGTGTGATTATGTTGATGTCTAAATGTGAAATGTCAGTTTTATAGAGTCGCAATTTTAAAGGTTTTTTTTAAATATATATAAAATATTATATGAAGATATGAAATATTAAGAAATAGCTTGATTTATGCAATTCAATTTTCTTATTAATGGTTTTTAAGCGTGACATTTGAGCATAAATTACTTTGCCAATGTCACGTAGAATGGAAAAGACACGAAGGATGATTGAATGGTAAAATGAAATTATTTTATTATAATATGTAAAAAAGGGAGTAAATTCTTTATAAAACTTAGATCTACAACAAAAGACAGCACAAGTAATATATTGTACATTAAACCTTAATTAAAAATAAGTGGTTACCAAATTTTACGTATTTTCCAAAAATGTTAGTTTATAATCTATTTCCATTACGCTTAATATATTTATATAAAAATTTGCACAGAAAAGTAAACACAAACATTAATAAATGATTAACATCAATGGGACGGGGGACTTTTGAGGGGAAGAACATCAGAAATAAGATGGACGAATCTAGGACAGCTAAAAAGGATATGAGGGAGTACCTTCTTCAAGGCCACATTCGTACAGGAAATGATCCCAGACCCTAATCTTCCGACCACAATAGATGAGGAATGGTCGAAGTGATACTTATAGCCGCAACAAAGAAATGACACTAATCTTCGCAAGATGAACAGGTGTATAATTTACATGCATGTCCAAGGCGCAAACGACAAATGGTTGGTCTAAGACCCAACGTTCTGCAAGTTTTAGACGATTAAACCGATAAAAGATTTCTTAAATTTACATGAATATTTGACATTTTATATAAAACTCTTTTTAGCAGATTCTTTCGCGGATTTATTTTGATTTTTCAGTCTCTCCCGTGATCATGATTGTTGTGAAGCATTCGAAACTTCGAAAACCAAAAATCAAAATATATCCGCGAAAAAATCCGATAAAAGTTGATGAAGGGCTCCTTGGGATCTCGACCTGATTGCCTGTATAATGCTTACCTTTAGCAGTTAGCTTGATTTATTGAAACCTATAAAACTTTGAAATTGGGAAATTATAAAATTGACATATCAACATATTCCCACCAGTTACACAAATATTTCAATATGTTAATAGGGAATATGCGTATTTTTTATACTATAGGTAAAATCATTACATAATTGTACAAAAAATATCCAAAAACGTAAAATTTAGTAAAAAAATATATTTAAAAATATCATACCGATACGGTTACCTTAAACGCATTTCGCGCGCTTGGCGTCATGTCACAGTATCATACATAGAAGAATGACGACTTTAGTTTGTAGCGACAAAATTGCTAATCGCTCTGTTATGATAATACTTTGACGTCATATTCGGTCTGACCAATAGCGTTGCGGTTCAACTACTTTGAATTTCCCACCTATATTTGCACTTTTTAATAATTATTTTCTGAATCAAAAAGAAGTTACATAAAAAAATATTGATATAGGCTTAATTCAAAAGCAATAAAGATTATAAAAAAATATATTTCACCTTTATTTAAATCACACGCATATTCCCTATTGTATGTATGTACGTAGATACTGAATGACAAAGATATTGTTTAAATTATTTTTTTATTTTTATTATTGTCTCACCGTTAAAATTTAATTGTACATCACGTTTGTTTGATCGTCTTGTCGAATCATTAAACCGGATATTTTTTAGACATAGCTTTTTTAGTTCGGGACGTAGATAGTGTGACGCGGGCTCTTTAATTATTATTTTTTTTATATTTTTTTACGTACATATATATTATGAATTAAGAAAAGACATTTGATAAATATTTTAGTAAAACTATTTTTTTATAATAAATATTTGTCATATAACTTGTATAATTATACTATTTTTATATAAACTTATATGTACCTATGCATGGAGAAGCTTAGATAGATATGCATATTCATAGTGTGATATTGTAATTATTGTATTTATATGATTATTATAATTATTAATATATATGTAGATCATGTATAAAATATCAGATTTAACTCAATAAGTATTGTTTCAACGCAACCATTTAATTTTTTTTATTAGATTTGTTATAATTTCTTTTGAAAATAATGGAATGTTTTATTGGCTTTTTATAGTATATCGTATGGGAAATATTTTGTTAATATATTTTATATTTAATAAAAATAAAAAAAATTACAGCTTTGAAAATAATTAAACCAAAAATATTTTGAAGTAAATCTACGATAGTTTAATCATGCGGGTTTTCCTCTACGTGGTAGAAACATCGATCAAAAAAGTACTAGATTGTGTATCTAATATATCTCATGCAAAAAAAATCTTAAAACTGTCATCAATTGTGTTTAGGTAATTATTCTAGTTGAAATAAATATACAACAATGTAAATTGAAACTTAAATGCATTGCTTAAAATTGATTTTACAAAAAAAATTTACGGCCGAGGTTCACCGCTCGTTGCCGCCGCTACGACACCACGCTATGAAAAGGAATGAGTGTTTATGAAGAATAGTTTAGTTTAAAAAATACTTAAAAACTGTTTTTACGATGATTTCTTGACAAAATATCAGTATTAAAAATATAGAAATAACAATTATATAATGATAATATTAGTCCTAGATACGTGGTTTTTGAAATTTTTAAACGAGCACAGAGGCATGTTTACCGTCTTAGGATTCGAATGCTACTAAATTAAAAGCGCGCCCAAATGTTCAAATGAGCGCTCATTCGGTGAGGACATTTTTTGTTGCTGAATGTGTATCTAGTACTTTTTTGATCGATGAGTAGATATAATATTTTAGTTGCATTACAAATGCCACATAATATTACATATAATTATGTACTTAGTAACTTTTGTATGAAAAAAATTACTCGTACTTAAAACCATGAAACTATCTTAATAAAAGACCTTTATAAAACTTAAAGACTAATCGTGTGCAGCAAATTAAATTAGTGTTTTAGTAAAAATGAGTTCTAAAAGACAGCAAAATATGTCTATTATAAAAATTTGTTAGTGATGTCACAGTGTTGTTAATAATAATGTAAAAGCGGATTGATTTTAAAACTTTTAATTAATTATTCAATGTTATACAATATCTTTTAATACAAATATTGTTAATTTATTATTTAAAAAAAAACGTAATTAATCGGATTGTTTATAAACTAACTTATTTATGTTTTGAATAATCTTAAATTATGATAACTCTTTAAAAGTAATACACAAGTTAATATATTGCGCTCAAAACGTGGGACCTAAATCTAAGGTAGCTTTTTTATTTTTAAAATAATATTAAAAACATAAAAATAATGATATTTATTAACTAAACAAACATAAAGACCGGAGGCTCAAAGTTTGGATATACAAATAAACGATAAATATTAGTTATACATATTGATAAATCAGTAGTATTTCATAAGTGTAACATAACAAATAGGTTCTGTATAAAAATTTTGCAATAAGCATTTTTAGTCAACATTTATAATTATTATTATAAAAACGTTGAAATCAATATTTTTTGAAGTAAAAACTTCTATAGGCAGGTTTGGATGGGGAGTAAATTCATGTAAGTCGTCATCGACATGGTCACGTGACGTGTTAACGCTAACACTCAGAGTGCCGATAGATCAAAACCAGATAAATGTAAACAGTTTTAATTTAAGATCAAACAATTAATTTGAATATCCAAAAATAACAACTGTTTGTTTATAGTTTTAAGTTTTCACTTCTGTCGGCAGTCCTCATGACTGCTTATTTTTAATAATTGTTTTTTTTTTAACGGGGAATTAATTTCTATTGAACATATAAATGTACGTCTTTATCTGATTATAATTGAGCACAGCGTTAAGAACTTTCATTAATTAACACTGAAAGATAAATAAAATAATATTATTTACCGACTCCGCTTAGTTATGTAATGTTTAAAATTTGACATCTAATTTTAATCTTCAAAAACAAAAAAAAAACAACCTTATATTTATATAATTACTAAAGTACTAACACATGAGTACTAGAATCTAAGAAATCTATAGAGTTACATAATAAACAATATATAATATATACAAGTTTTTTTATATATTATATATTGTTATAACACACTCATTTTAGTCTAAATACTATAATAAATAAAAATGCTTAGTGCAAAATCAGGTTCTATCTCAAACATTTTGTGTAATACATTATAATACGATATTTATTTTGTTAACATAAATATTATTATAGTCTGTGTTAATGTCATTTGATGCAATAAATGATTTGTCATAGATATTCATATCGTCACAATCGATAGGAAGCTTTCAGGCTTTTATTATTATAATTTGTCATTATGTCGAAAAGCATGTATGAAATATTTTCTATTTGTACATAGATTAGCTTTGGGTTTGGGTTTTATCCTTGTGCATGTTTATCATATACCTACTGTAGTCCATATAAGTCTTGGTTTGTCGTTAAAGCTGATACTTGTGAGTTGTGACGTTCCTTTATTGCTTTGCATATATATTTTGTGTAGAATATAAAGAATTACATTTTTTTAATAATGATCTAGTAAATTAAGACAAAGTACAATCGTGTACAAAATATGATAGAGCGATATCTTGCTCTCTTTTTATAATTGATTTTTTTAAATATATTTTTATAAACTATATAAAAAATGTCAAAATCTAGTTAGTCATCTGTAAAATTAATATTTTGTCATAAAAATATAATTATTTAAAAAAAACAGTAAGTCCTCGTGACTTCTTAATATTATTTTGCTATTTTCGGGGGCCATATATAGAAAGAAAATATTTTTTTTTTATCATTTTAAGTTCAAATCACAATTACACTATAGTCAATCTTAACATTACCATTAGAAATTCATATTTAACTGTAATTCAAATACGTTTTTTGAAAACGTATGATACAAATTACCATTATTTCATTACATGTAATATGAGGACAAATTTATTCTCTCACTTTCAAATATTTCTTTGCACGTTTGAAAGCTTTTGACGATTGTGATTTTGTTTTATTTTTGCCCTTCCCGGCTTTTAGTATTGCAAGTTTTCCCTAGTTAATGGCAACTCTGAGGTAAGAATCTATTTATTTTTTATATTATCTTCGCTTCTAGTCTATTGGCGATAACTTATTTCATACATGCTTTTAATAACGGGGCATTTTGTAACAATACATTGTAAGTGCATACTATGTTAATTGTTAAGCATATTTTTTTATGTACCTACCTATATAGAGTTTTCATTGTAATATATGTATACTGTATATGTTATAATTTAGGAAGTTAAAATTTAGCATTTGAGAGATCATAGAAACAGTTTTTTTAACAATTACACGGAAATAGAAATCTAGTTAATTTTTATTATCAAACCTTGCGCATGATATGTGAGTCTTCATGGCTTTTACTGTAATTAACATCAGCAAACAACATACTCTTGTTTGCTTTATCTAATTAAAATAATAAAATTGATAATACAAATTGTTATCCTAAAAATTTGAGAGATTTAACTAAATAGATACTTAATTATTATAGGTTTAGTCTTATACATACGTGTATTACTTGTTGTCCATTACTCACCGGTTGCCATATATCGCATGAAAACTTGAATATATAAACATAATTTTGAAATATTAACTAATTTTTATTATTTTACTTTACATTATGTTTAAATATATAAATAATATAATATTAATTACATGAATTAATTTAACATATTAAATATTTAATCATCTCAGTGTTATTTGTAGTTATATCCAATACACGTCTCAGTCTCTATTTAAATTAATTAAAATATTTCGCTTAAACATTAAATGTTAATTATAACTATAGAACATATGAACTTCCAAACTTCCAAATCTATGAAATCATAATAATATGCATATAATGATCATGCAATAGGTATACCATTTGTCTATAAGATTTACTTTAAAGACATTATTTTAATAAAATATCCATATACAGTGACAGATAACTTCGGTTGGCGAGAAGATTCATCTGGCAGTGAGGAGCCCGACGCCCCGCACTACCCGTTGGACCTTAGACTTGCCGAAGCTAGGTGAGGAAATATATTTTATACTTGTTTAAACCCCCAGTTAGACCCTAACATTCAGATAGTAAGCAGGATGGAGATAAAAGCAGATAGGTAATCGTCCCCAAGATGTAAACAAAACAATATAGTATATAATTTAAGCATTAAGAAGTTCTCTCTTTAATACGCAACGCCAAATAAATATAACATCACTACTATTGTCATTATTATGTCGGTAACGTCCATATTCTACAAATAAAATATATAATACTAAGGACTTCATGTCATCAAGTGTTTTATTTACATTTTATGTGGCCATGTCTTAAATAATATATAATTTCAGATTGCAATTAGAAGAAAGGCTAGCTCAGGAGGCTCGTGAGAAGAGACTGGACGATAAGAAAGGCCTGGACGATAGGTCGAGGAGTTCGTTCAATGACGTCAGGAAGAGTCCGACGGACGACCGGCGGCGGGACCCCGTACACTTTATACTGGGAGGGGATAAGTATGATTTATTTTTACTTTTTAATAAAAATTTTTTAGCTTGGCCTGACTTTGTTTTTTTTTAACTTTTTTTGGTAGTTATTTTTTTTAAATAGTACTTATTTTATCTTACTAATATAATAAGTGTGAAAATTTAGATGTTTGGATGTTTCACGCTAGAACTGGAATCCGCTGCAATCTGGATGAAATTTGTCACAGAGATAGATTATTACTTGGTATAGCACATAGGCTACTTTTTATCCTGAAAAAGTGTACAATTCCTATGGAATAGATTTGGTTTTGTTTTTCTAGACAGACACAGACAAAAATTTTAAAAATAGTTTTTTTTCTTATAAGTACCGTATACACATTCATATGCAGAGCGAGAGTGAGTCGCTAGTTTAAATATAATGTTTGTTTTAATGTTTTGTTTTAAGATAAGAGATGGCGCTAGTAGTGTATCTAATAATACTATCATTTACCTCATTTGAATTGTATAGAAGGAGGATCATTTTTCATACTTCTGTTAATCCAAGATCAAAATTTTCGTCTGGAAGCTTTTGGGTTTTTTTAGTGTGGCCGTGTTTTCACTGCAATAACTGCACTAATCTATATATACAAATAAATACAATTGAAGTGTCTAATGTCAAAATAACAGCATTTTAGTAGATGTATATGGAATTATATACGGTATTTATAAGAAAAACACTTTTTTTAATTTTTGTCTGTCTGTCTGTTTGTTTCAGATAAATTCTGAAACGGCTGGACTGATTTTGACGGGATGCTTGACGGGCTTATGTTATAGGGAATAACGTAGGCTACTTTTATTTTAGAAAAAGAATTAGGGTTCCGTTCAAAACAATCTAAAACCTATCTACGGACGAAACGGAGCAAAGCGAGGGTCAGTCGCTCGTCCATCGTAACGGTTAATATCGTGTATTGCAGCGTGAACTGGACGGGCGAGGAGCTGCGCGGCGCGGGCGGCGTGAGTGCGAGCGCGGGGGCGCGCGGGCGGTGCGCGCGCCGCTGCCGCCGCCGCGCCGCGCGCCGCTGCAGCGCTCGCGCAGCGACGTGCTCGTGAACGAGCCGCCCCCCGCGCCGCGCCTCGCCTCGCGCCCGCGGCTGCAGGAAGGTAGACATTCTAGATGCTTCTATGTCTAGTCTAGTGAACGTCTAACTGAGCTAATTTTCTTATAATCTAAATGTTGTTTTTACCTTTACATATACAATTTTTTGATTGTCGTTATCACCTATAATTAAGGTACAACTCTATCTGTTCTATTTTTTATGTATGTTGTAGTGTATTTAGTTTGTACTTTTTTGATGATACCAATGATGATGAACCAACAAGGTATATAAATAAATAAATACTATTGTATCATATATAGATAATTCAGGAAGGTATGCCTTCTAAACACTTCTAGATGCTTCTATGTAACGGCTATGCAAGGTAATGTTTATTTGTTTAAACAACCAATACTTGTACTCTATACTAGTTTTATTCATCTATCTTAAAAACAAGATTTATTTCAAAAATTTATGTATATAGATAAAGTTCGTCTTTTCGGCTTTTTTAAATTAAAATGTGTATTTTATACCAATGGAATTGATATTTAAAAATCAATAATCCTGTATTAAAAACCTTTTATTATATTGATCGTTTGGACAAATAAACACAGAGACGACGATATCAGAGATAGTATTTAAGACACCTCCCGTTTTTTTTTAAGTTAGGAAATGACCTGACACCTGATATATACAGATAATGACTCACCGGCTAAAATAGTCAGTAATTCCTACTAAAGCCGGCCTACCAAGACAGATCCATTATCTAAAGAAAAGCACCTATTTGGTTTAATTTTTAAATAAAAACAAATACACCTATTTGTTAATTAATATTTCTTTTTTATTTTCAAGACCTACATTTTTTAGATCTCTTAGGTTTAATAAAACCAGTTATTGTGTATTCTCGTGGGAAAGAAAGATGTACTTAAAGTAAAAGGTATCCTAAATATTGACTCGAGTACTAAGTTATCACTTCACCAAATTTCGTTAAAATCGGTTCATTACTTTTTGCGTGAAACGCGCACACACTAACGATAAAATTGTTAATAACTATTGTTTTGGTGTCTATATTGTGTAAATAATAGGCTACGTTCATTGTTTTTAAAACTATTTCATGTACAGTTTTCGCTAACTTACTGCTTTATTATAGTATAAATTATGCATTTTATCCTTTATTAAATTCATAATAACGATTATTAGTATAATAACAAAAAACACTATAATAATTATAACAAAGCTTCAAACTATAATTCTGTGTATATTACAGGTAATGAAAACTCAGAAACGCCTTCCAGCAACACGCCGCCAGAAGAAGAATCTACAGACTCTTCTCTGATGGAAGATGAGAGTGTTCCGAAGGCTAGGAAACGTCGCATTCACCTGCCCTTCGGCAAAAAGGCTAAAACACCCGCGTGACCGTTGCCTAAGATACGGATAAACGCCCGAAGTCGAACTTAGCCGTGACTGTAAAGAAGAATAGATAGAAGAAAGAGCAGACCGAAGAAAGTCTTTTATAATAGAATGGAATAAAGGATAAATAGGTTTTGCGTTGCGCAATGCCAGTTTTTGAATGTAGTTTCATTTTTTTATACTGGATTGTTGGAAAGGTTATATTTTGTGAATGTTTTATTTTTATATTTATTTCATATGTCGCATAATCGCCTTTTATGTTTTAGACTATTGCCATAGTATGCCACGAATTTGTACAATTTCTTGATTTAGAAATTTAATATGAAATATATTTATATTAAAATGCCAATTTTAATTATATTTTAATTCATTTGGAAAGTAATTTTTTAATAGTAGAAGTTTTTAACAAGTATGCTTGATGTGAAGTATCTACTTACGATTATATTTGTTCTTCTTTACGAGATCACATAAATGAATTTTATTTATTGAATGTGTAAACGCTGACCCCGTTAATTTATTTTATTGAAATCTAAATTATTTTGCACGTTTGTGTTGTTAAATGCACTTTGCAATCCTATATTTTATTCAAACTATTGAGATTTTCTACATTGTTGAACTAAATTTTCCTTTGGCCTGATGAAAGATCCAAAAAAAAAACAATTTTTTGTATCGAAAATTAAATTAGTAAAACAAATGGTTTGCCATCGTGTGATATTGAAATTTTGATAGAATTATTTTAAAATAATTATGTAGGTATGTTAGTATATAAATGCAGTGTAATTAAACATGTCAATTTTAATCAACTATGAAGCCGCTGGAATGTTGAGGTAATGGTTTTTATTTTTTTGGCTTGTAGTGCATAGTATTTTTTAGGAATTATTAATGCCTTAATAAATTATTACGTACACAGCGCAATTTAAATTCTATATATATTATATCAATGTAAATGTATCTATTAAGTATAAAGAAAGCAATATTTTTTGTTTAAATTTTAGCATGTTATGAAAACATCCTATTGTAGTATAAGTTTATATTAAGATTAGCAAATATTTGTGAATTGTGTCCTAAAAGGCTAAATGGATGTAGGAAATGGTATTATTATACACATCTTATGAAGTACTCGTATGTAAATACGTTTTTTACTTCCTTTCATAGATATTTAAGAGCATTAACAATTATAGAAGTAATGTCGTTTCACTAATATTTTAAATTTGAAAATACCAATTATAGGGAATTTATCTTGATGAGTATCCAAAAAGATCTGATTAGAACAGAATCAATAATGTATAATTTTATTGTGAAACCTATGACTAAAATAATTATAAAATATGCATCTTATTATTGCAAAAATTTAATCATCAATGTTGCCAAGGTCCTCAATTTATTTCTAAATATTCCCAAAACTTAATTTGAATTGCCGCGATTTTGACTTGGCAACACTTACCATTAACTTCTATATTATCTTCCATTTAAACAAAGGTTGTTATAATTTTAAAGTGCTTAACAATGTTATTCATTGTATAATATATACATATAACAATATCGCATCATTCCCCGTTTGAGTAGTATGATAGCGATAAAGTTGCCCCGTAGCTATATTATAGATTACTTTAAGGGAATTTGGTGCTAAATGAACACTTACAGACTGAAAACCATCACTGTACCATAAAAATTATGGGAAAAATCAATCGATTATTACTTATTTTCGTTGATTTTTACATTGAGTACTTAATTGTGTATCCTGTCATATCGCTCACTTAGTATTATAAAGGAGGACGTACACTGTATGCGCAAATATAAGGGGTTAGGCACTGCATATTATCTTTTAACTATCTTAAGAAAAGTAACCAATATATTTCTAGGTGGGCGATATATATTTGAAATAAAAAGTATATAATAGCAAAATATTTTAGTACTTAATCAAAAATATATGTTCTACTTGAAAGATTACAAAAATTCTAACTCGGACATGTCTTCAGTTTAATATAGCCCAAAATAATTTTCAATAAATGTTAGTAAATGTGTCACAATCCTGCAAATGTGTTGCAGAACTAGGACAATATTCACGAGTTGTGTTACGACCTTTTACAGGTATTTTAAAGAATTTATTTATATTTGTGTTTTGGTGTCATAATGTAAAATATTTAAGAGCTCTCGAAATTCGATCAATTAAGCCTGAAACGCTGATGGAGGGCATTACCTATTTAAAGTACATATTAGTATTAATAGTAGTATTGACTATATGTATTAAAATAAAACATGTTTTTTATTTATTTATATGTACTTTATTACAATAATTAATAATTTTATCATAATCGCTTCCATTCAGTGCTTTCAATTCATATATTTGAGTTCTTTTGACACTAAGATGTTAGAACTAAGATGGAGTGTCTCCCAGATCTGACAGTTGTGTAATAAAAAGACAAATCGTGATAAAGTTGTTACTTATAAAAAATAAATTTTAATCCACAAAATTTTGTTTATCATTTCTAATAAACCATTTTATTTAGATCTACTAACAAAAATCAAGTAATACTATAACTGTAAACAAAATCCATCCTCTTATTAACTCATATGTGACTTGACCTATACCTTCATAAAATTGCAATTCTTTAATTAAAATATCGTATTACATAAAAATCAAATCACTTCAAAATAGTATTTCTGATTAAAACATGATAATATAAAGAATAAATGAAATACAAAGTCTTGTTTAAAAACTAAATTTATTTAAAAAAAAATGTAGTGTACAAATATACTGGCTACTTGCTTGTGTAAGACCTCTCGATACAATTAGTTTCATCATCTCACACTGCAGTACTCATTTCTATGATTTACAATAGAGCTTAAAATGGTTATATTTATAACTAGTATACAGTCTTAGAGACAGTTAAACGTATCATAAGCTGCGTACAGACAGCTAACTTCACATCACATTAATTTTGCAAACAAATGAAAATCAATTTATACAGAAATTTAGATTATATATTGTTAATTGGCTATAACTGATTTACAAAGCGAGATGATATGAGGCGGACATTTACCTAATTGTTTGGTCAATCTTGAAGGAATGTTCACTTCACTTCCAATGATGCAACCTACTTTATGATTGATTTTTCATAAGTTTCACGGAAACTAATTTATCAACATTGTTTGGAGAACATTCGGACGGACAAAACAATGCTCTATAAAATTGCAGAAATAAAAATCTGCAATCCATAGAATGTCCTACCGACCGAAGTTAGCACCAAGATGCGATGTCACATTAAAAATCTAACAGATTCGACAACAGTTTTAGTAGAACGAAGTCAATTTAAACTTGAAATAAAATGGTAAAATACAGATCAACATTTATACATAAGGTATAAAATAATAAAATGATGAATTGGTCTAAGTTAGCCTTTACCTGCCTTCATTTCACAAAATTTGAATAAAAATATCTACACCGCATATTTCTTGTATAGCTGTCTCCTCGAATACATAAATATATCCACATAAATTATTCTCAAGAGAACTGGATCATTATACCGTTAATTATCTCATCAAACTTAAAAATTATGAAAATGGCGGCAAACCGAGTTGCCATCATTGTCACTTTTTTTTTCTTTAATGTCTTTAGGGTTGCGTTAAAAGACGCAATATACATATTCTGTAGGCATGGAAATAATTGCTACTTTTAATTCATTTTCATTTGATGAAATTACGTATATTTCTCACAGTGATTTCACTTGCTACGAAAAGTACAGGCAATGATTTTTTTATTTCGACGGTCTGGTGTCACACTTCATATACTCGTAATATGCTATTAAAATGAAGTATGAAAACTCGCCCGTTGGTTATTGGTATGAAGCATCAATAACATAGGAATATTTTTCTCTTTTTAACTCGCCCACATTCCCATTACATGCCTACTCCCTTGCTCTCTAATTAGCATTGACGATTTAATTCTACGATGAAATCCGAACACGAGATATCTGTTTTTGATATTCTGTTTCATATTTTTTGTTATTTTATATAAAAAAAATCCAAGCAGAAAAGGTTTAAGACATCTGAATTGTCAAAGAATGACAGCTGTCATATTTCAGTGGAATTAAAAATCAGACTAGTGTGATTTTTAGCAGTCAATAAGAACATAAGTAGCAGATGCGAGTATGAAAACGCATTTCATGTGAATTTTCACTTGCTGCTCATGAAATGTTCCATGCCTAATATTTGAACGGTAATTTGGAAATTTAGCAGTATTTTCACTATTCTTATTTAACTAATGTTTATATTGTATTACGTCATTAAACACGACACCGACAGACATCTGATTTGACATACTATTTAAAAAAGAAGTAAATTAAGAAAAAACTGTTTGGACAACATTCAAATAGTATAAAAATCCATACAGTAGGCCATCTATTAATTTTAACGGAAACTAGTTCATATTTAAAACAATGTAGTGAATCAACGATAATAAATAATAATAATAATACCAATCCTTGACACGTTAGTCAAACCTAAACCCATTTCCCGATTGTCATATAAAAATAAATATGACAGTCGGGAGCGCCTCCACCCGCGTATGGCACGATTGCCCCTTTTAGACGGCTTCGTTAAGACTTGTGGATTAGTGGATCATTAGATACAAACGGACATTCTCTGAGACATTGAATATATTTAAGTAAGTATAGTGAGTAAATTAGGTGTGCTACTGTTGCTTGCACTCTGCAGGGTTCTCGTGCGGCTTGATCTGCTTCTTGCCGCGTCGGCGCGGGGCGGGTTCCTCATCATCGCTCTCTTCCGTCGAACACTCCTCATCCTCCTAGCACGGATTAGATAGTCAAATGACTGCTTGTTTACGCTATTCGCACTTTGGATACTTTTATTATATATTTTTAGAATGTTTACGTTAATAATAATGTTAACAAAGATTGTGATATTCAAAGTGTGAATAACTTGTTATTTGCAAATAATCAAAAGTAATATTGCTATAAGTTATATATTAAATTTCTTTAGTCTTGGCTACACAAAAATATATACTAAAATATATTTTCAAAGGGCTCAGCATTAAAAATCAAAATTTGTCGTCATATTCATTAACAACAAAACTTTGCAATTGAACTTCTGAAAAAGCCAAAACAAACCTTATTTAATTGCCATATGAATATCTAAATAAAAACAAACTTACATCTCAGAACAAAACAAGGTAAACCCTGCAACCATCTGCTCGCCGTCACTTACCAAATAAAAAAAAATCGCATGCAACAAATATAAGGTATAAAAATAAAACACATCAAATAAAAAGCTTACAATTTTAATGTCCTTGGTTCGAACACATGCCAAAATGTAAAAGCCATGACCAATATGTAAAACTAGCATCGAGCTGCAAACGTTAACGTATATACGTTTAAGATACAAAAGTTACATAAAACAAAAAATATACACATCTATAATCGCCCTAACTGTAGGTCCAATGACTCGCTGTAACTAGTGGATGAACAAATGCAGTTTGGCACTAAGAGATTCGAAGACGCACGCCGCTCGTCGGAATGACACTTAGATTTTATCAATAGGAAACATCGAAATAGCCTTAGAGAATAATAATATCACATTAAATTTAGTACGTAAAAATTGTAAACAAAAATACATACTATTACAATAATGTATAATAATAATAATAATAAATAAAACAAACGATCGTACAACTAATCTACAAATGCAGTTCGTGAACGTGTAACGTCATGCATCACCGTAAGGCACCTTTCTCCTCGCTCCCTACAAAAATATAGCGCTCTTCGAGCTTTCTATACAAAAACGCGTCTAAAACATATTTATCTGCGGATAAACCATGCATAGAACGTAATACAAATGCAATCTTAATTAAAACCTAGCGCACAAATACTAACAATTTATAGGTCAAAATCATGAATAAAAGCGAGGGTCGGGAGCCGAACCCGTACCTCGCTCCGAGTTAGCGACAGACATCGTCGTCATATGCACTATAAAACACTAAGTAAATCTGCTAGCGATTACATTCTTACAGAACAGTATTCGCGATTTCTAAGATCCCGACTTCTCTACTAGAAAATACCTTAAAAACGCAATAACACATTATGCTTAGCAGATTTTGTTTAAGCACCATTAATTTATAAATCTAAAACATTATGTTAACATTACGCGTAATTTCATTACTTTTCAAGTCTATGTTATGATAATATCGCTAATATTACTTCGAACATGTTTATTAAAACACCTCCAGGTAAATTTGTAAGAAATTAACAAGAATTCTAAGAAATCTATTGTTTACTGACACGCCGGCGTGTCCGCGGTCGTGGAGGGAATATACATGTATATATCTATAAAACGTAGTGAGAGCATATAACCCGATGTCTGATCAATATTTTAGATTTTTGGTACATAATAAGTATTGATATGGAACAGATATGACCACGTTGAAGGCAAAAGCCACACTAATGTGCAAAGAGACCGAGCAACGTTGGTTGCTCGACCTTGGAGACGCCTAATAGGGTTGCCAACTTATAAAAAAACATGTTAAATTTTAAAATATCATTTCGTTACATAGTAAAAATAAATTAATTCAAAATGATTGAATGTTAAGTCAACATATATAGTTTATGTAATTCACTATATATGTAGTATGATGTTGGCAACACTGTTTAGTGTATGTATGGGGGGGGGTCCATCAGTCGTCTGCGTCTGAGACCTCCTCGGTACCAGAGTCCTCGTCCGAGTACGAATCCTCCTGAAAGCAAAGACACCGCTGTTGGAGCAACTATACTCCGTATGCACTACTCTATCTTTCATTGTATGAAGGTGTGTCAATGTTATATTTCTCTTTCAACTGCCACGAATAAAGTAATTAATATTTTTTTTTGATTAAATTCAATGAAAATGTCATGAACAAATATATTATATTTATAGTGTTTTTTAAATGGATTCTTATAATGTTATTTTAAAACATTGCTGAATATTTTAGATAAAGATGTCAGTTGAGTCATCTTCAGAGATATACTCCAACATGCACTAGAAAGCACGCCAACATAAATAGGTTTAAAAACTATGAATATTACAAAATCTCAAAAAAAAAAACTAATAAGTCAAAAATAATAAAAACTAAATAACACACAAACCTTCACAAATGAAGATAATGTATGATTATTAAAAAACAAAATGAACAATATTTACGTTTGTTTTTAATTTTTTATAAAACATTACACTGGTGTATAATTTTATCGAATATTATTATTTATAAATATAATCTATATAAGAAGAGCTCACGCGCGAGTCGCTCACTGGTTTTCTACCACTACATTTAACACTCAACTTCATCAACACTAAAGTAGCTAAATATAGAACTAATCAAGAAAAATCTAAGGGAAGTATTACTTTCTTAGATTTACGCGAATATTTCACATTTTAAATTAAATTATATTTTCGGATTTTTCCGCGGATTTATTTTGATTACATTTCCCAACGTTTTGAATACTTTACAACCATGGTAACGTTTACGTAAACGTATAGACGTCTTAAAGGTACAGACAGTGTCTACCTACAAATTTACAGAATGATTTCAAAAATACAATAACGAAACGTCGGGAACCAAGTCTAAATAAATCCGCGAAATAATCCGAAAAGATACTTTTATTTATAATGGAAATATCGTTGAATTTAATTTCTTTAACGTTATTTAAATATGAATTGTCAATACTTCATACCCTTGGTAATTTTTTTCGAAGTATTTTAAATAAAGCGTCAAAGCTTATAGCCCCTTTTGTATCAATTCCTTCTAAATCGACAAAATCTTGTTCTTAAAAATGAACTAAGAGATATACTATACGTTCGTCTAATCGGTTTTTATAAAAAAAATATAAATATACATATAATAAGCATGTACTACCATGCACGTAATAAAGCGAGACTAACAGATGGCTGTAGAATTCACTTGGTACAAACAAACCATGCTTCAGTCTTTACGATAAATCTTTAAAGCTAGTGATACCTAATTATACTAAAGGAATTCAAATATTACAATATTATAAATAGCAAATAAATTTAAAATGTACATGTGAATGGGATTTCATAGACTAGGTCAATTAGTAACAAAACAAGTAAAAAATTCAATGAATCAAAAACAAATTTACAAGCACATTACGGTTCAGATCGAAACCTATGCACATAAAAAAGTACAGTTGAATTGAGAATAAATTCCTGAGGTAATAAAATCTAAAGGCAAATACACATACTATACAAAATCCCATACACACTATAACAGTTCTCAATAACCTATACATCTGAAACTTCCCTCACTACAAAAATTTAACATATGCTGCATACAAATTGTGTAGAGAAAATGACAGATAGATAGTTTGAGAACCGTACGTAAACAATATATTCATAGTATATAACAAATATTATAAGTAAATACCTCCTCCTCGTAGTCGTCGTCGTCGTCCTCGTCGAGCCCCTCGCCGGTGTAGAGCAGCACGGCACGCGACACCACACGCTCGCGGATGTAGTGGCCCACCTCGAAGTCGGCCGTTAGCAGCGCCTGGAATGTACGTGTGCACTGCTTTAAAGAAATAATCTTAATTGAATTGATTTATTAAATTGACAACACCTTTGGCTTAATTTGTAGTGACCCTAATTGCTGTGCCAGTGGTAGCGGGTTAGAGTCCTGCTGGGGACATTCATTTGTGTGATGAGCATGAATGTTTGTACTCCAGTCATGGGTGTTTATATTTATAATACATATGTATTTAAAGTTATATATGTGTAGTGTATCAACTATTTGGTATCCATAACACAAGCCTTGTGGCTTCTTATGGAACTAGATGGTGCTGTGGTTTATGTCCCAACATATTTATTTAAATTTCATGCAAATCCGTCCAACCATTTCAGTGCGAGGGTGTAACAAAAATACATACACACGTACACTTATAATTTTCATAAATTACGCGATTTATAACGATTAATATGGAATATACAGACTATATATTATACAGGGTCATTTATAATTTACTGAAAACCTTTTGGGAATATACTATTTACATCATAACAACAACATCTGTAAGAAGAAAAAAAAAATATTTCTTAAATTTTTATTTTCATACAAAAATAAAAAATAAATTATTGCATCTTCTAAATGGTAAAGTTTTAGCATCTGGCCAAGTTTAAATGAGTAAGGGCCACTTCCTACACCCATCCCCCTCCACCGGTCACGCGCTTTCTTTTGCTAATGCTGGAATACCGTTTAGAAGGAGCAATAACATTATTTTTATTTTTGTAAAATTTAAGAAATATTATTTTTAATATTTATATTCACCTGAGTATCAGAAGCGAGGGTGGAGTTGGTGTCGTCAGGCATGAGAGGTGGCGCAAAGAAGTTGAAGAAGGAATCCGCTTGCACAGACTTGGTGACGGTGCGCACGGACCCGCGAGACTTGTGCTTCTGTTTCTTCTTTATCGTCTTTACCGTCACGTTCTTACCCTTCTTCCAGTTGATCTCGCAGCCCTGCATTGAAAAAAAAAATATAATTTGACCAAAATATAATAAACTAGCGACTCACCCTCACTTGGGTTCTTCCCTAGATATATCCCTATATTTTAACGCTTAGCTCAGAGATGATATATTTCATATTATTTAAATATATGTGTAACATACCTTGCACGAATAGATCTCTGGGCCTTCAAACTCCAAGGGGTTCTCCTCATCAGGTTTACACTTCATGGAGTACTCCTTGGTGAGGATTGTGTTAGTGAAATAGTCATTGGGGGCAAAGTGGAACTCCAGTGTGAAGCCAATGGGATCTTCATGCATTTGCACTGTTCAAAAAATATAAATTTACTATTATCACTTGTTAATTATATTATAATTTATAGGAGTAATTTTTATATTATTATTAAATTCTATATTTTACCTTTGATATCTTGCAAACATTTAATAATAGGTTCATCATGTTCTTGCATCATTTCACACAGCATTGAAACATTCTTGAATATATTGTACCAGAAGTCGGGGATTCCCTTGACATTTGGGTCCATGGGTGGCCTGAAACACGTATAATGATTAATATGGTGTTTATGGATATTTCTATTATTTTTATTAAAAAAAAACCTCAGTTGGTGATGCATGTTCATGAAATCATTCACGGTGATTTCAGTAAATGGTGAATGGTGTCATCATTTAAAATAAATAGGGCAACTAATTTATAGAGTCTCCTTTGATTGGTTATACTTTTATAATTGTTATGTTTATATAATTGAGTATCTTCTAAAATAAAGTAATATCTGCAGATGCTATGTGATTGGCAAAAATCAATATCTTATGCCATATTTTGGAACATGGCTGGTTTAAAGTAATATATTTAGATTTAAAACATTAAACCATATTGACTTCTAAAAATTTCAATCTACTTTAAAGAAATACTAACTCAGCAAGCTTGTTTTCTTCCTCCTTTTTATCTCCTTCAGTGATAGCAGCATTTTGTACAGCTCGGGCTAGTTCCTCCTCCTCTGTATCGTCCCGCCAGGGATTTAGACATTCATTGTCTGTTGGTTCATATGCACCATTTACAATTTGAGCTCGCTGAAAAAAAAAAGAAATTAGAACAAGTCTATGTATATATTAATAGCATTTGCAAAGTTAATGCCTCAGTTGGTGATGCATGCTAAAGAAATCATTCACGGTGATTTCAGTAAATGGTGTAAGGTGTCATCATTTAAGAAATATATTTTTTGTGTGTTTAAAAACCAGAAGTACTGGTGTATACATATGAATAAAAGCAAAGAAATGTTAATGCAAACATGTGATTAAACATAAGTTATTAGCATATGGAATGTTGTTATTTCCACATAGGAAATGACCAACAGTTCTCATAAAGTTATTACATCAAGGAAATGATGAACATATATTGATCAAATATTTCTATCGACAACAAACTCATAATTTACCTTTTCAAACAGTGGCTTGTACAGTTTCTCGTATTTGCACTCTAATGCATGCACTTCAGAGTAGAACTTGGCCTCAATATCCACAAACTCTTTCTGTAGAGACCTCAGAGCGCGGATTCTCCGACGCACGTTGGGTGGAAGTGATGCCATCGCTTCAGCGTGGATCCGGTTGGTGAGAGCCGCTAGCATTTCATTGCGAGTAATGCCACTGGAAAGAACATATCATTTACATTTTCGAATGGTAACAGTAACAATTTTAGTAATTTATTGAACTTTTCTTTAAAAGCATTATAATATGTTTTCAATTTTCACTAATATAAAAAATTAAGAGTGACAGGAACAGAGAGTGCACTTGTGTCTATGCGTACACTTGCGCACTATAATATCTCCTGCGCAGTTGGCTAGTCTAAAAAATATACGCTTGTTGGTTTCTTTTACGTTGAAACAGAGGTATCAATATTATCGTCGTGATACAATACGCATGCAGCTGTATGCTTTTTCTTATCACACAATCATACATAAAACATTTTAACAGACTTCCAAAAAAGAGGTTTTCATTCGTCGGAATCTTTTTTTATCGATACGTTAGATATGTCCGGTAATAAATAATATCTAGTTAAAAATACTCTTATGCAATAACCTAAAAATATCTCAAAAATGTTTAAATTTAACGGTCAAATGTAAACAGTCGTTAATTGATCGCACCGCCCTAGTTACATGACCGGCGGTGATTCCGTAGCAATTTAACAGATGTATTTTAGTCGCACGATTACGTTACACAAGGTTGTTCCTTGTAATACACGTAAATTTCGTAAAAATATCACACATAATACGTAAAAATCTATTTTGAAAATTAATTCTAAAATAACCTTCCCTTAAAGGCTATTAAAACTTCAAAGCAAATCTTTATATAACTATCAGTTTAAGTTCATCAAGTTCATTAATTATATATGCCGATTTAGGACATTTCGTGACATACACGATAACTTCAAACCAATATCAGAAAATAAAAATATTGAACCGCTTGTCAGATGGGATTATGTGAAGCTTGATAAAATACAACCTTAAAGCATTTGGTCTTATAGTTTTTTATAAAATATTTTTAAAAATCGTCGTCTCAGTGCTTATTTATACTATCGACCAATTTACCGAACGAGTTTTAATACAGTATTTACCAATGTTATTATAAAATATACATTTTACTTTAAAAAAGCCAATAAGATGTATTTTTTTAAGTATATAAAAGCCTTAAAAAATCAAGCAGTTTTTAAAATAGATGGAAAAAACTATTGGTTCAAGTGCTTACTCAGGCGGCGAAATATAAACGCTATTGAGTCATGAAATTATAAAGGCTATTTTTATTTGAGCACAAAAAACAAGTACATATTTTTAAATACTCTACACTACTTTTTCACTCAATATCTCAAAGATTGTGAAACGAAATATCCTAATATAAGGTAAATTATTCTCACAAAAAATTTCTTTGTCTTACTAACTTATCAATTTTCTGTATCAAATTAGTAAAAGACAGAATAGAAATTGATAAGTAACATCTTTACATAGTATAAAATGGAGTTCCTTCCACTGTCCGTTCGCTTAGATATTTTTAACTACTTAACAGATTTTAATGCAGTTTTCAGCAATAGATAGTGATTCAAGACAAAGATATGTAAGTAATACATGGATATTATAGTACAAAAAGCCTAGAAATTCAAAAATTTGTATTTCATACTAACCGTTAAAACGTATCTAGGAACGAACCCGAGCGAAGCGAGGGTGAGTCGCTAGTATTTATCTATACTAAATTAATATTATAAAGAGGTAAAGTTTGTGAATTGTGAGTTTGTGATGTTGTAGGAGGTAATCTCTGGATCTACTGAACCGATTTAGATGAAATTTGGTAAGAAGATAGTTTGAGCCCCTGGGAAGGACATAGGATACTTTTTATCCTGGAAATCATCTCTTAAAAGGGTGAAAATGGGGATGAAAGTTTGTATTGGGAAGCAAGTTATAAGAAATAAATAAATAAAAAAATGATGTAAGTATATATCATTAACAATGTTAGCGATATTATTTTCATATGTAGTATAAAAAAGACTGGTTACAAACGAGTAAACAAATAGTACAAATAAATTTTATTAGCGCATTCATCAGTTAGCGGCAATGCGATCGAGGCCCAAGGCATTCGGACGAGCGTGCCGTCTTGCGACCAAGTAGAGCGTTAACTGACTCATTGGTTCATTGACCGTAATCTTGAGTCGGAACTCCGACCATACTTTTTACAATCAATTCAGAATCCTTAAGGAATATTAACGAAACCTTGATAATATTAACGAAATTATTTCATGTCCCTGTTAAATGATATAAAAAGTTATAAAATACATCTGTATTTTATAACTTATCTATTTAAGATCCAAAAAACGTAGCATATGCCAGTTTTTTACAGTATATAATCTACAGTAAATTAATGAGAATTAATTAGAAATAACTACCTACGTAGAAGTGTTCTTAGAATAGTTTCTGTAATATTACATGTAGACTTGTGTTATATACATGCTATCGTCCTGTGGAGGACTTCGCCAGGGAATGCGAGGCGTAGCAAGCAAGACTCGTCCTAAATTTGCTTTAAGGGACCGACATGGCAGAACCGATGATGAGATGATATGCATCACAATGTCATCTTCTGTAATGTTTGAAACTCAACTCTCCTAATGTAGTGACAGTCATGGCTTGATTTTTGCTAATACACGTTTGAACAGACTAGTTCTGCCACCATTACTTAGGTCTCAGACCACAAAATATCTTGGAGTGGCGAAAAGCTATTGCAGATTTATTAAGACCTACAATTTTCTAGTACATTGCTTAGATGTATCTCTTAAGGTTAAGCCAGCTTTAGAGTAAGTTTCTAAAAACGACTTGATAGAAGCAGGTGCTTTAGTTTCCCATGGACATTTAAAAAAATCCTGTAGTAAAAGGTATCCTAAACGTTAGTTAAAATCGGTTCAGTACTTTTTGCGTGAAACGCGCACATCGATTACGCTGTTACTATTTTATTATATGTATAGATTAGATCAATTTGGACATGAATAGATAAAATAAGTAGACATACACTACACTATTGCATAGCATTTGGATGGATAAGTATTACATTAACAAAAAAAAATTGACGTTTGAAACTTGTTTCCATGGTAACCAATATAATGCATGTAACATGATAACCTATATATTGTAATGTACAGTATATACATTATTAGTTTTATATTCATTTAAAGTGAAATTGCACAACAGATAATGTTCACTATATTTAAAATATTGCTTTGTTGAGTAAGGTTTTTTTTCACTTAATTTAGTAATGTTATATACAAAAAAAATTATAAATAAACCAGTAATAGCCTTAACAATTAATCTTCCGGCTTTGCTCCTTGATAACTCAGGCCTATGAGATAAGTGAATCATTATGACTCAAATTGAGATGGATGACTAAGCATGCCTTTTCTTAATTAACGTTAAGTTCATGTCAAATTGTTAAATATAGCTTAAATGTATCGCTCGAATAGATTTATGTAATAAAATAAAAATAACACTGTAAATAAATATGTAAATATTATCATGAGAACATTTTTTCTCAATTTACTTTCAATGGATATTTTGTAACTTATAAGTTAAGATAACTTTATACATAACTATTGATATTATAACTTTTTTCCTAAATGAAATATCAAAAACTGATCATTTGTATGCACTTAAACACATGTTTTTTTTTTCTATCTACGATCTAGTAAGTCTCCTACTCCAGCTTCTACACAAAGGTCAGTTCTTACCTTTTAATCAAATGTGCTGCCAATTCCTCGCCAACAATTCTTTCATCATCACCAGATTCCGCTTCAGATGTAGCATCACCAGCACGTTCCAAAGAACCCATATTTTATCTAGAAATACAAAAAATTACGTCTCAGCGGTTTTTGCGCCACGTTGTTCAGAACCGGCTAGAAAACCATAGTATTACAATTTTCATAAATGCTTCAGAAAAGCATTATGAAACACACTAATGCAATAAATTTATAATTATTTATGTACTTATAGTTCTCTATCGTAAAACATAATGCGCAGTTCCCATCAATTCCTTTTCGGTTGCCGACCACATGGTCGCCTCATTGTATTTTCATAATTCCAGGCGCTTTGAGCATTACATTTGTTAATAAATGAACTAAGTAGTACAAATATACTAAATAAATGAAATCTATAAAGTAATATCACTTATCATAAGATATTTAAATGTTTTTCCAACTTACCTCCTTGCCGACAAGACTTGTGAGAAAAGAAATATGGCGACGTTAAATTCAGTCAAGGAATGAGCGGCAGCGAATGAAAATGATTAGAGAACTGGCAGCACGTAAGTTTCGTTTCCGGGAAGAAATGTTGCCTTTTAAATATTGCAAAGATCTTGCGAAAGTAGATATATAAAACCAGTCACATTATTTTTAATCATTGAATAATTACAGCACTATAATTAAATTTAAAGTTTTTAAATTTAATTATGCTCTTAATATGAGCCCATATCATTTATCAAACTTCTATGACAATAAGATCCTACAAAGTAACAAAACACACATATTATTTATAGTACACATAGTAGACACATATTATTTTGCACACACGGCAAATCCAGACCAAATCTCATCGTTTACCTTTTAAGTTGTTCACCCTGAATAATACTCGATTTGTATGATACTTCATAGTTATTTATGGTATGGCTATTGTATATTATATTATAGTATTAACTTAACTGCCTTGGTGTAGTAACTAGCATGTACGGCTGCACACTCGGAGGTCCTGGGTTCGAGTCCTGGGTCGGGCCAAGTTTAGTTATTGAGTATTTCTGTATAGTAAGTCTCAGTAACAGCCCGGAGCTGGGAAGTTGGCGGAGTTTCACCCCCGTGCCTCGGAGAGCACGTAAAGCCGTCGGTCCAGCGCCTTAACTCTCACTGGTCGTGTCAAGCAGTCGTCCCACCGGAGTATGAAAGTGACAGGAATAGAGAGTGCACGTTGTGTCTGCGCGTACACTTGTGCACTATAATATCTCCTGCGCAGTTGGTTAGTCTCAATGAGATTGGCCGCCGTGGCCGGAATCGGCTAGGAGAACATCTCATCATCACATTATAGTACCCTATATTATGAGATTTCGTAGCATTTCTATTTAGTTTGTGGAGCTTTCCGCGGTTATATTTATCATAGTGCTATAGAGTTCTATATGAGCATGCATGTGTATACTCTCTTTAATACACATGTTTATCTATGGTTTAAATATCTCTGACCCAATCAAAATGTCAACTTTTCTGTGCGTCAAATGTTAACTCTGAACTTAGTTGTTAATTGTTATTTGTCAAAATATTTTTACGTTGCCCAGATGCAATGATTAATGTTTGTTACTATCTAGGATAATTATTGTGTGTTAAATGTGTAATTTTGCCACTCATTTAATGTAATAACATTTAAAATGCCCCCGACAGTACAAACTAATGAGCCGGAGCGAGAAAAGCGGCCACAGAGGACAGGCGAGCGGAGGTTAGTTTGGTACTTACAAACTTCTGAAACTTATTTTATTATACTTTATAATTGTGTATTATATTTTACTCATTTTAGGTCTGAATTAGTTACACGAGTCAAATATTGCAACACTCTTCCAGATATACCTTTTGATTTAAAATTTATTACTTATCCTTTTCCATCTACACGATTTATTCAATATAATCCGACGTCTTTGGAAAAGAATTACCGATATGAAGTATTAACAGAACATGATTTGGGTGTTCATATTGACTTAATAAACCGTGACATATACCAAGGCGATGGAAATGCACAGTTAGATCCAGCAGATGAAAAACTTTTAGAAGATGATGTACTCACTCCCCAGGATTCTAAGCGATCTCGTCATCATGCCAAAAGCGTGTCATGGCTACGACGGTCTGAATACATTTCTACTGAACAGACTCGCTTTCAGCCACAGACTATGGAAAAGGTACTTGCTTACATTTATGTGAATGTTTTAATCATTAACTTTAATAAGTAGGTAATATATCAGACTTAGAATTAGCTTCATAAATTACTTATATAGCTTGAATCCTATATTATATATAAGATCAAAACTATATTAAAAAAAAACTTTAAAATTATACATCCATTTTTTGTTACCTATATCTAGTCTACTACTATTGTTACCTTTTTGTAGGTTGAAGCTAAAGTGGGTTACAATGTTAAGAAGATATTCAGTGAAGAGACATTATACATGGACCGAGATAGTCAAATAAAGGCTATTGAGAAAACATTTGAAGACAATAAGAAACCTATTGAGAAGCATTACAGTAAACCTGGTGTTACACCAGTGGAAATTATGCCAGTGTTCCCTGACTTTGATATGTGGAAGTACCCTTGTGCTCAGGTTATATTTGACTCTGACCCAGCACCAGCAGATAAGAATATTGCAGGTCAGATCGAAGCTATGTCTCAAGCTATGATTCGGTAATTTTTTTATATATATTCATACTCACCAAGCATGATATCAGATAGATTAGTGTCAAGCATTATTAAGTAAATTGTGAAATTCATTCAAAATATTTCATGTAACTTAAGCATGCTTCTTGTATGCATTTATATTTTATTAATAAATCTTCAATTGTAATTCATTCATTATATCAATAAAAATTCAAATATTATTTTACATTTTTTTTTTGCAGAGGTGTGATGGATGAAAGTGGAGAACAATTTGTAGCATATTGCTTACCAACTGAAGATACTATACAAAAACGAAGACGAGACATCACTGAGGGTATACCCTACATGGACGGTGACACATATGAATACAAAATGGCTAGAGAATATAACTGGAATGTTAAAAGTAAAGCTTCTAAGGGCTATGAGGAAAATTACTTCCTGGTGAGAGTCTTAATACATTATAATTTTCATTTATAATTTTTGTGTCTTATAAAATAGGTTGTCTTATTAAAAACATTATTTATATATAATAAATAGGTAAACAGTTATCTATACTAATATTATAATGAGGTAAAGTTGCTGAGTTTGTGACGTTGTAGGGGGTAATCTTTGGATCTATTGAACCGATTTAGATGAAATTTGGTAAGAAGATAGTTTGACACCCTGGGATGAACATAGGATACTTTTTATCTCAGAAAACATCCCTTAAGGGAGTAAAAATAGAGATGAAAGTTTGTATGGGGAATTGAAGCGAGGGTGAGTCGTTTTTTATATAAATAGTTAAATTTTGTTCATATATGTTTTTCTCAAATTTTCAATAATGGTTATTATTGAATTTTGGCCCCTAAGTGAAATTTGAATTTATTAAAAATCTGGTTGCAAAACTAGTTTAGTACCCAAATGCATATAGTGCAAGTATCACTTTTGCCCTTATTTAGTCCATACTTTAAAACTGCAGAATCACTTTATAAATACATATACACTTGAGCATCCTAATCGTTAATATTTATCAATAAATTAGCATTGCCCGCGGTTCTGCCCGCGTTCAGATGACCAAAAACCAAATTCTTAGGTTTTATATATTAGTTTACTCTAAAAATTGCAGTGTTTGTATTTTTTCTCAGAAATGAGGCATTTTCCCGTGGTAAAAATATCCTATATATTGACCCGGATAACCAGCTATCACCATACCAAATTTCATGAAAATCCCTCCAGTGTTTTTTTTGTGATGCGGTAACAGACAGACAGACAAAAATTCTAAAAACTTTAGATTCGGCCTCTGTATCGATAATAATGTCTATTTCAATAAGATTTTCCAAAAAATATTTAATGTACAGATTCTCCTAGTTCTACTAGTTAGAATTTTATTATATGTATAGATTTCTCAATAATAACATTTGACGTAAATTGAATTAAATTAAGAGACATTTATTAGCAATAAGTGAACATTTTACGCACCAATCTCTTTTGTGTCTTCTCCTTTTTACATGACAGTGGCAAAGTAATCCGTGCTCTTGTAATCTGCCAACTGTGCTGGCACTCTTTAAAGCCAACAAGAATATTGAATGGAGATGTTTTCAATTTTTTTTATGAATCAATTATAGAAATGTAAGAAAAATATGAAATGAAAAAGTTACGATGTAATTTGTAGCGATAAAATCACTAATCGCTCTATAATAATATACTCTGATGATGATATCATTTCAATTCAGTCTGACAAATGGCGTATGTTTCAACTACTTTCATCTCCCACCTATGTTTGCACTTTTTAATAATTGTTTTCTTAATCATAAAGAAATTACATTAAAAATATTACTATGGGCTTAATTCAAACGCAATAAAGATAATAAAAAAAAATATTTCAATCACACGGATATTCCCTATTGAGTGATACTTTGTGGTGTGATGATCTCAGTTAAAAGTAAAGTAAAATGACTTCACACTCGAGCGAGAGACCGCAATCGTTCTGCGTTTAAATATTTCAATGTAAAAAAAAACTGATTTATTAGTTTTGATCTATATTATAATTCCATTGCGTTAAATGTGATATTAATAACAAGAAACTTTTGAATTTTTCCAGGTGGTTCGTAATCATTGTATCTACTACAATGAATTAGAGACACGTGTGCGTCTGTCCAAGAGGCGTGCTCGTGCTGGGGCGGCGGCTCAAGCTCTGACTCGCCTCGTAGTGACTCACCGGCCTCTCGGTGCTGGGGAACACCGTATGTTGAGACTGAGGGAGAAACAGCTGGAACCGCCACAGGTAGGTTAACTAGATGATAGGACAACAAATACACTATTTACATACATATCATACAATTATGTATCTATAGTAATATTATATTGTAAAGAGGAACGATTTGTTTGTTTGTACCATATAAGCTATGAAATTACTCAATTGATTTATATGAAATTTGGTAAAAATACAGCTTGAGACCTTTGGAAGGACATGGATAGTTTTTATCCCTGAAATCATACCAAGGGTGAATATGCGGAAGAAAGTTTGTATGGGGAAGTAACCTATAACAGCTAGTAATATTATAAAAATCCTTATATGCTGGAATTACACTAAGGCTTTACATTTTAATTTTTTTAAATATTGTTTTTGTTTTATTACTGCTATTGTAATAGCATAGACAAGGAAGATTACTGTTTATAGAATTAAAATAATCAATTACCACATTATGTCAGTATGCACAGGTGATATGGTGAGGGAAGTACGGGCAAAAGCTAGTTTAAAATATTTGTGTTATATTATAGAAATACCTGCTTTAAGAGATGTTATGTGATAATACGAATAGTTGTTTTGTAATACAATTTAATTCAAAATTATGAACTGAAAAAGAAACCCAGATTGTCAGCCAGTCAATGATAAGAATTAAATACAATTTTCATATATATTTTTAGGAAGAAGATGAAGAAGAGGAAGAAGATGACGACGAAGATGAAGAAGAGGAAAAACAGAATCAGAATGAAAAGGAAAGGTAAAGCTTTACAACAGTACTACAATGATTTTGTCTTCGAGTTTTGCTTATATTGTGAATAGTTTTAATTTTAGTCCACATTGGCGCAGATGTCTATTAGTACAATATTTCGAAATAATGTTTATTGCTTTTAATCAATCTTTATTCACTACTATATACTAGCATTACCCGCTGCTTCGTCCGCATTCTACATACCGTTCGCTACCAAATTTCACATGATCACCCACCGGCTGGGCTAATCTGAAGATTATCTGAAAATTTCATCAAAATTGTCCCCTGATTTTAGGGAAATCGAGAACATACATTATACACACATCGAATTTTATATATATCGATTTAGGTTGCTTGAAATCGATTTTTGTTTATCAAACAGACTATGAGAGAATATATATTAGGAGAGAATTGGTGTAATATTAATATATAACATTATTTTACAGGTCACGTTCCCGATCAAAGTCGGGTTCGAAGTCGCCCCAAGGGTCAGAGAAGTCGAAGGGGTCGAGATCAAGGTCAGCGTCTAGGGAACGGTCCAAGTCCAAGTCAAGGTCCAAGTCTAAGTCCAGAAGTCGTTCCCGGTCAGGGTCTGGGTCTAGGAAGTCTAGGTCTAGGTCTGGTTCTGCACAGTCTGGCTCTGCTAGGTATATCGTTTTTTTTTATTTTAATTTGAGGAATTTAAACTACTTACTCCATGGCTTTTTTTTCAATTAATCAAGAATAAAGTTTTAATATGACATTTTGCCTACATTGTTTTATGTATTGAACAATTTGTGTAAAAACAATCCTGGTAAATCTATGAAGTATTTTGACAATTTCCATGTGTTTATTTGTAGTACTAATTACACGAACCCTCCTAGCAATAAGAAAACCGGAAGAAAATAATATTATTTACACATTAATTATTAAATAGAAAATCTTCAAATAAATATGAAAAATAACTCATTAAATTTTATTTACATAGGTAAACATATGTTATAACGCTTGCAGGTCGGCTTCACCTCGCTCTAGGTCTGGGTCCCGAGCCTCGTCCCGAGCCTCCTCACGTGCCAGCTCTAAGAGTAAGGGCTCCAGGAACAGCTCTGCGAGTCCCAGGTCCCGCGCTAGCTCTAAGGGCAGCGCTAAGGTTGGTAACCTGACTATACAAATACAATCCAAATGTCTAAAACTTCACGAGTACCTTCATTTAGCTATTCATTTCAACTTTTCTTTCTACGAAAATTTTACTGTGGTAGATATAATTGTGGATTGAACGCAAAATAGGCGCATAGTCGTCGAGTTGCGGAAAATAGCCCGAAAATACCATACCATGCCATATCATGGAAGATGTCGAAATGGTGATTGTCTAAAATTTATTAGTAATAAGGTGTTTTACAATTTAATCTTAAGATAATCCAACATGAAAAAAAGCAGTCACGAGGAGTGCCGACAGAAATGAAAACTTAAAACTATAAACAAACAGTTGTTATTTTTGGATATTCAAATTAATTGTTTGATCTTAAATTAAACTTTGTAAATTAAAACTGTTTACATTTGTTTAGTTTTAACATTTATCAATACTCTGAGTGTTAGCGTTAACACGTGACGTGACCATGTCGATGACGACTTACATGAATTTACTCCCCATTCAAACCTGCCTATAGAAATCGTTCCGCTCTCCAAACTTGTTAAAATAACAACTTCATAAAATTATTAATAACCGGCTGATTTTTATAGTATTTATTATAATTAAAAATATGCATAGTTGAATGGTCACATCGTTCAGAAATAAAATGGTACGTTTTCTGAGTTCTGTGCTCGGATACTGTCCTCCGCATGGTGTCATACTTTATTCTTAGAGGAATGGTGTTCATATAACGTTTTTCTTCGCCGTATTAGCAATTGATGAAAGTATAAACCACGAGATATTCGATATTTTAAGGGTGGTTGTCAGAAAAATCTACACTAAAGAATAAATAATAATACGTTTATTATGCACCAGGGTTCAAAAGCATCGTCAAAAGCGAGTTCTCGCGCATCATCCCGAGCCTCAAGAGCGTCTTCCAGGGCTTCGTCCAAGGCTTCAGGTTCTAAGGCATCGTCCAGGGCCAGTTCCAGACGTAACTCGGGCTCCGGTAGCGGCTCTGATAAGTCTAAGAGTAGGTCTCCGAGTGGGTCTAGACAGGTGAGTTGTTTGGTATTTTATTATTATTCGATTCAGTCATATAAAAATTATATAGGAAAAAGCGTTTTCTGTTTCTCCCTAAAACCTTACTTGAAAGGTTATATATAACATTTTATAAATGTAATTACAAATCGGTTTAGCCATTCTCAAGTGATGCACTTAACAAGTCTTTCATTATTATTATTATTTATTATTCAAACAAAAACCAAATGAACTTTTTTATTTTATTATATTGAATATTTAAGTACAACAACAGTACAAGAGTGCATCTCTATTTAGTTAAATGGCTAAAATATATAAAAAACTGTGCAAACTTGCATATAAGCTTTCTCCATAATAATATTCAAATTTTATTCTAATCTACTGGGTTGTTACAGTGTGAAGAACTAATTTTTATATCCATACTGTATACTTACTAATATATTATAAATGTGAAAGTTTGTGAGGATGGATGTCTGGTTGTTTGTTACTCAATTATGCTAGAACGGCTGAACAGATCCGGATGAAATTTGGTACAAAAATATATTATAGGCTGGAATAGCATAGCAATAGGTTACATGATATAATTGCTCTTTAAATATACTGTAATGAATTCAATTCTTGTTTATAGGGATCTCGAAGCGGGTCTGCCTCGAGCGCCTCGTCACGTCATAGTGGTTCTGATTAAAGTGCATGTATATGTGTATGTGACTCCAATAAATGATTTATTGTGTTTATATTGTTTTATTTATATTACACTACCAATTTACCCTCGCTTCGCTCGGGTGCATGCCTAGGTACGTTATAATTTTTTAGAGCGGACCGTTAATTCTTTTTCTAAAATAGTTAAAACTAAGTTAAAACTAACTAAGTTACTCTTTATAACATCAGCTATCTACCAGTGAAAGTTCCGTCAAAATTATTCCAGCTGGGTATTTTATTTAGTTTTGCCTGACGAAAGAAGGCGCTTACTAGAGAGCTGCCAAAATGTATAATTTTCTAACAATACCTAACTAAATATGTTATACTAGCGACTCACCCTCGATTCGCTCGGGTTCGTCTCTAGCTTGCTTCCCAATACAAACTTTCATCCCAATTTTCAACCCCTTAAGGGATGATTTCCGGGATAAAAAGTATCCTTTGTCCTTCCCAGGGTGTCAAACTATCTACTTACCAAATTTCATCTAAATCGGTTCAGTAGATCCAGAGATCACCCCCTACAACGTCACAAACTTATCTCTATAAAATATTATTTAGATAAAGTAAAATAAAAAAAAAACAAAACTTATGACTATACAGCTGTTAATAACTGGCTTATACATGTGATGCCATCTATTGACATGTATTTTAACTATTTTTTCTATTTCTTCCTTTTATTGGAGAATTTAATTATTTTTGTAGCTAGCTTTATTGCTGTTAAAAATAATCAGTCATTTAAATGTACGACTTACGAAAACTATTTTTTTTTTCATTGTGTTACCATCAGATCTATTCAAATTCATGCACTATTAATGTAAAATGAAAGTCAATAAAATTGTTAGGTAAATGCTCACTTTATTGTTTCCAAAGAATACATCACATAAAACTGTTCCCATTACAAAATTAAAATCTAAATATCATTTTCTTTTACATAACAACATCTAATTTTTATAATAAATGCATTAAATATTATCATTGTGTGTATAAAAAATCATAATATTGTTAGTAAAGGAAGCACTCCACTTTAAAATGTGTAATTGCACTTAGAAAATTACTTATAATATAATAAATAAAAAACAAATCACTTGTTTAGCGTAGACTTGCAACATAGTATATTCGGCCATACGCCAAATACCGAATATTTTGTGGCCTTTCTGGCCGAATATTAGGCAAAAGTATTAGGTCAGCGCGTGGCGGGAAAACATGTATCGACCTGTTTGTTTCTAGTTTTGCGCCAGGAAATAGTATTTAATCAGAGCGCCTTTTCTCTGAAGCTGGGATTGTCTACGAGAAGACAAGGAGTAAGCTGTCTGAAAATGCAGAATAATTTCTTCAGCAACATAATCTTTCATTTCTAAATTTTAATTATTATAATGGAAGTGCACAGACATTTATTTGGTCGTTATTTTTTTGTTAATTGTTGTACTATAGATTATGTTCCAATGACTACTTTAACGATTAATTTTTATAAAATAAATCAGTATTTTCATTTTACCAATTATTTGATTAAAACAAAACATATTACTTAAGTATTCGATATTCGGCCGAATAGGATAAAAGTAGGCGAATAGACCGAATACCGAATAATAATCGAATATTCGTTGTAAGTCTAGAGTACAACAAATTATTGCAATACATAATATAATTTAAATACTAAGGACTTTATACGAAATAACTTCGAAAATGTAAGATGAAAATGACAAATAATATCAAAACTAACGAACATAAAATATCCACTTCAATTTATCAGACTATGAAATATTGCAAAGGTTTAAACAAACATTACATATGTATATAGATTCATAAATCCGAAAAATAATAAATTCATTTAAATACAATAACATAATCATGGCAGACGTGTATACGAAAATTTATTTTCAGCAGAGCTAATAGTCAAAAATAAATACTAAATATTTTAGGATTTAAAGTGTTACGATTAAAATCGAAAGAGTATTTAATTTTTTTTTCATGTGTTAAAATATAGTTAACACAAATAAGAATATTTATTTATTTTTTATTTCTTTTTCATATTTTTTTAGTTACTTTTAATTAAAAAATCCAATATTATATAATTTTGTGACAAGTAAATCTTAATAAATTTTAAAACTGGTGTTTAATTTTTGGAGTATTGTCATATTCAATATCATTGCATTTCTTGTTTTTTTTGTGTGTCAATGTAACTTCTTTTAACATTTTCTGATCTTATAAAGTCAAATTTTAATTTATATGGTATGACTCTTTTTTATATTTACTACATAGTGCCTAAAAATATTAATATTTTTACATTATTTTGCACATTTATATATAAAAACTGCTTTACCAAAGTGTACAACTTTGCAAATTCTAGGCGGATTACGAGTTACATGGAAACGGTTGAGTTTAAAATGTTTTTTTTTTGTTCTAAAGTATATATATATATATATATATATATATATATATATATATATATATATATATATGTATATATAATTGCTTTCACTTGTGATAGAATGTATATTAACTCTTAAGTGTTATTCTTCTTTATTGATTTTCAAATAATAGCCCGAGAGGCAAGCGACCAACTGCAAGCATTTCTCTGCACTAGGTGCTTTAATTTTGTGAAAAAACTATATACCTAAGTTTTACGATCGTCAGTCAGTCAGGTAATTATTAACACTAATTAAATTTTAGGTTATAGAAACTAGGTGCGAGATATATATGACATTTTTTACAACTTTAACGCGAGACTGACGACAGGACATTTATCTACTAACGTAGAGAACGTAGCGGCACTTAGATTTTGACGTAATGTTAAAAAATCAGCCTTTAGAAAAAGCTTGCAGTTTTTGTAGTTCGCCTCTCGGACTATAATGATGATGTAGTTGCAAATAAAAACAATGTAATATTTTCACTTTATAACAATAAAACATACGTTATTAATCCTTTCTAAATTGAAATAATCGGTTAGTGTATATGATATTTATGCATAATTTTGCTTTACAAAAATCCTAATTAGTGCCTCTAAGTTGGAGTAACAAAAATGTTAACTTCATATAATTTCCATACATTTAATTTTAGAGTTGTTAATGTTTAAATTAGCATTTATTTTGTTAGTGTAATTAATTTTGCAATTGCAATCAAAAACTCTAAGCTTTGCTTAGTTCTTCTTCGATAATATCCATGTAATGTTTTGTGAAGACAGCTTTATTGTGCATGACATAACGCAGGAGAGTTCCGGACACAGAAGTTAGTTCTTTAGTGAATGCAGAGAGACCCACTGGTATTTGGCGAGACCCACCCGCGCATACCAAAATCATTTTGAGAAATTCGAGGATTCTTTGACCTTGAAAGAAAAATGATCAAATATAAATAGTATACCAAAAAAATTGCTGTGATTTGATTGTTCAGCTTGTACATACTCTGTCTTTGCCAATTAAAAAAAGGAAAGAAAATTAAGAAATGAAATTCCTAAGTTAAGTGCAGAAACTTATAAAGCCTGTAATCTATACTATTATTATAAAGAGGTAAAGTTTGTGAGTTTGTGTGTTTGTGACGTTGTAGGGGGTCATCTCTGGATCTACTGAACCGATTTAGATGAAATTTGGTAAGGACGCAGGACACCTTTTATCCCGGAAATCATCTCTTGACGGGGCGAAAATGGGGATGAAAGTTTGTACTGCGAAGCAAGTTACGGACGAACCCGAGCGATCGAGGGTGAGTCGCTGGTGTAGTGTAATATTACATGAGGCTAATATATACTTAAATTATAAATTGACTACCGACTTACACTCTCTCCGCTTGGTTACGACCCTAGATTAGTCCGTTTTGTATACATAAAAAAGTTATTTCGAGTGTACCTTATGAGATAGACACATGCTATCGCGGACTTTTCTGGAGGCCTTTTTAAGAGCTACAATTTTCTAGTACAATGTTTTAATGTATCTCTAAAGGTTTAGTCAACGTCAGCCATATAATATTATGAAAACAGTTTTTTTTGACAAAACACCGTATATGCTCAGTTATTATGTACAAAATATTTTCAAATGATAACACATACATCTTCCTTGTTTATCGCTCTTTCTATTAGTGAAAACCGCAACAAAATCCATTGCATGTAGTGTAGTGTTAGAAGAAGTAAGAGGAGGAACAGACAGACGCAGAAAGCGACATGTTTTAAACTATGTATAGATCTATAATATACAATACTTACGGACTATTTGTCTGACTTTGTGTTCAGGATCTCTGAGGGATAATATCTGATTTCTTATCATTTCCTTTGTGTCACTCGGCAAAGGTTCTTGGTTTAATCCTTCTAAGAGTTGTTCTGTCACTAATATGACTTCTTCAGCAACAGATGGCAATATGGCTTTTAGCTCTCTAAAAAAAATAATTAAGACTTTCTATATTATTTTTATTATTCTAAATAATATAGAAAATATCTGGCTATTATTTCCTGAATAATAACATAATTCAATAATAATGGAGATTAGAACATATATATTATATACTATACTTTGTGTAACCTAAATTAGGTTTTTAAATTTTCTTTTGTCAAAGATAAATATGTCTATTTATACAAAAAAATTCAATACTTACATATCATTGCTAGTATCGCCTAAAATAATAAATATTCTGTCTTTAAGATCCTGTTTGTGTTGAGTTTGGGAGTCGCCGGCGACTGAAGGACTCGCTAGTAAGAGCGAGGCAACACAAATTAGACGGTATATTTGTACACCGAGCTCAGTAAAACGGGGCTTATCTATAAGAATTGTCTGCAAATAAAATGATAATAGCTTAACTCCTTCAGGTACATTTCTAAGAAATTCATTAAATTTCTAAGAAATCTATTGTTTACTGACACGCCGGCGTGTCCACGGCTTCGCTCGCGCTTAAACTACAAAAAAAACTCTAGCTTTATGCTATTAGTAATAATGTATGGAAGTGTGCTCGATTTGTTGACATTTATGATTACTGCTCTGCTCCCTTGGATAGTAGCATGATAATATATAGCCTATAGCCTTCCTCAATAAACAGGCTATCTCAGGCAAAAAGATTTTTTTAAATAAGATTAGTAGTTCTCGAGATTAGCGCGTTTAAACAAACAAATAAACTCTGCCTCTTTATAATATTAGTGTAGATTGATATTATAGTGATAAAATTAACAAAAGAAAATCAATATTTTTATAAAACTTAAATGTAGCGCGATTTTACTCAATCCGGCGCCATCTATCATTAACAATTTCAATTATATAAAAGAATGTTTAATAGCCCTTATACCTTATGCCCTAAATACTAGCGGAATTGGGAGTGCGTTTATAACAGAGCAAAAATATTTCTAAATTTGCCATATCTTCTATCTTACCTCCGGATAACTTTTCGATTCCTCCCACTCCAATAATTCTAAATATGCTTTAGCTAGTGTTTGCGCAGTGACGTTTCTTATAACAATAGCATCAGTAACGGGAAGACTCAATTCAGATTTATCTATATGTCGCAAAAGCCATTCTCTGGTGTGTTGCAAGCCATCTGAAAAAGTTAAATATATATAATAATACTAATATTGTTTTTGAAGTTATACTTCTTTTGGCACGTTAGGAAAAATTATGAGAGTAATCTATCTATGTATAGAAAGTAAACTAATACTTTCTTTGATTTACGCGAATATTTGACATCTATACATATAGTAAAATTGTAACTAAGCTGAATCTGTACATTAAATAATTTTTTGGAAAAATCTTATTGAAATAAACATTATAATTACACATGACATTGACATTTGAACGCGGACGGAGCCGCGGGCAATGCTAGTTTTAAATAAAACTATCTATTCGGATATTTTTGCGTATTGATTTTGATTTTTTATTCCCGACGTTTCGAATGCTTAGCGCAGCACAGCTGTCATTCATATTCACGGGAGAGTAAACTACTACATCTAACAAAAGTATACCTTATTCATTATCAATTTTCCTCATAACAATTTTAAGTTAATATAAAATATTTTTTTAATATTAGTCTCCTAAATAAATTATATAGGGGGCCCTTGCAAGTGTGTATAAAGGTTTCAGTTTAGTAATCATAAAAGCATGGAAGTTAGTACTTAAACTTTTGTTCAGATGTTAGTTGTATTTTAATCAGAAATTAATAAATTTAAAAATGATATAGAGATGGTACAATGTACATACTTATTTTATTTTTAAATTAATAGTATTTTTAAACTACATATAAATAATACCTTCAGAAATTTTCAACACTTCATCAAATTTTGCTCTCTCATATTCCACACTTTCCTGCTGTACATGTGGTCTAATCATAGCTATTAAAGTGTTGGCGAGATCCAGCTTTAATACTTCTAATGTTTCTAGAATTGCTCGGAATATGTCTACCTGTAGAGCAATTAAATAGATTTTCATTCAAATGTTATAAACCACTCATCTATACTAATATTATAAAGAGGCAGAGTCTGTTTGTTTGAACATGCTAATCTCAGGTACTACTAAACAGATTTGAAAAATTCTTTTAGCATTTGATAGCCCATTTATTGACGAAGGCTATAGGCTATATATCACCATGCTACTACTCAAGGGAGCGGAAAACATACCCAAGCTTGATTCCGAGTAAAGCAAGGGTGAGGAAATTTTTCTTTTTATAATGTCAGTTATTATTCACTAGTTTTTGTCTACCAATCAATGCTTAAAATCGATTTAGTAGTACCAGAGATTGTCTCCTGCATTGAAATAAACAAATATTTTCTTATAATATTACAGAATGCACTATATACCAAGGTGACTAAAATGTTTTTATAAATATTATCAAGTGAATCACCCAATTTGATCTTTTACATTTGCTTAGTTCATTACCTATTATGATAATACGAGTATGACATCATACAATGCTGTGTAAACAAAAATATTAAACTTTTTAGGATCATAAACAATGTAGTAAATTTTCCTTAAAAACAAATGAATTGAAAGATTTATCAATTTATTATCTTTGTTTTGTTTTTGTTATTTTTGTTTTTAATTTAACCTAATAAAAATAAAAAAGCAAGAGTCATACTGTACTAAAATGTCTGGCCTTATTTTAAAAGAAACTAGGTACATTTTGATACTTAGTATGGAATAGATTTTTTTTCAATCTTTTAATAGTTATTCTGCTATTCGGGGTGAAGACAAATCCAACAAAACAAAGATCATAAAAATCGGTCCAGCAGTTCTCGAATTATAAGTGTTGTAACAAAAACGAATTTGTTTTATATATTATGTAGATAAAAGCAAATTAAGACTTTTTATAAAATAGCTTCAACATGATTTGGTTATACACTAGGCTAAAATAGCACTCACAGTGTCAGTCATAGTAGTGATATTTTGTATCATTTCATCCCTGGCAGGTGCGGCAAGTTTGGCCATCAAATCAATAACAAATGTTGCATATTTTTGAAAATCCAAGCTATTGTTTTCTGCTTGTTGTTTGATAAAATCAGCATCGAGAACTTCTTCAATCATATCTTTTATGCGTTTGTGACGGGGAAGTAAAATTGAGAAGAGGCCCTGTAAATATGAAATCAATTTTGCTTGCTTAGTCTGGATTCTTATTATGGTAATGTCAGATTAGTGATTATGGTTTGGCAATATCTACTTGAGACATAGATAGATAGATACTTTTACATGTTAGAGATAAGGTATTTGTCTGGTTGAAATTAAGATATAGCATTAGTACTACTTGTTTAGTGAAAATACTGATAATAAATCATAAGATAAACATTTTTACCCACCGTTTCTACCCACTAAACAATAAATCAGCCTTTATTTAATATTTATTTAGGCAGTTAAAAATATACTTACTTGCTTCACATCCTCTAACAAGATAAGAGCTTGCTTATATTCAGGAGGGTCTGAGGTTAGCTGTTCTCTCAGAATATCGAAATAAGCTTTATGCATTGTTTCTTTAACTAATTTTTGATAGCTGTCAAATATTAAAAAATGTAATTTAATATCTAAAGATGAAATATTGCTTTATTTCAATATCTCATTAGGAAAATATGTATCTAATTTACATACACAAGTGGTCTCAAGAGTCTTAACTACTTAAAACAATAAAACTGAATACTTTTTTAGGACTACTATATAGTAAAAATTGGAAAATATATCAAAGGTTACATATGAATGAATATTAAATATATATTAAGTTACATACCTATTGTCTGGAGGTTCAAATGGTTCCAATTTAAAATCTTGATCAACAGCAATTTCATGAGCTAATGCCATATTTTGCATGCCATGGGCAGCTTTCATGATATCCTCTAAAGTTACAAATTTTGGTGGCGAGGCACCAGTTATTGTTGAACCTTTAACTCTAAACTGAAGAGGCTCATTAGCAAAGTAACTGCGATTACTGTAATAAAAAACAAAAATACATATTTACAATAATTTTAACGTGTTTTAAGGCTATATATTTCAAGCAAAATATGTATATCTCTGTAATAAACAATAGGAAAGTAAGAAAATAGGTCTATTAGAACAATGACTGTACCTTGACCCAGTAGGAACTGGTTGCGAGGGAATCTTCATATTTCTCTCTCCTTTGTCTTGCTCAGACCCGGAACTGCTCGGGTTCTCGCGTTCACTCATGATGAAATCTTTGTATAAACTGACTCAGGAAATTAACTTGCCCCTTTTTCAACCCATATAAGGAAGGCCACTTAAAGGTATCACGTCAAAATATTATATCTTCGAGCACAATCACCTTGATAGTTGATGTATAATATAAATATAACCTTACCTTACGCACAAAGAAACACTTATAATGGATTTTCAATTGAAACAAACTACTACACACGCTTACAGGGCACATTAAAAATGAACTACACAATTTAATTGATGTTTTTTTTTACTATTTATCACATATTTCTTTTATTTTGCTTTTGCCTTTGTATATCATATCTGTTTTCAGTGACTTGTCAATTTCATTTCCGTATTTTCCGTACGAATAGGGCGTAATTCGTTAATTGCAGGCTGCACGCACATCAGCTGTCATTTATAAGATACTTTTTTTTAGAGCAACATTGGTCTTATATAGAGAAAGATTTCTCGAAAAGAGGGCGCCACACGTATGACCTATTTGGTATATTTCTATTAGTATATGGAGGTTTTCGGGGGGGTAAATTCGATCTAGATTAGTCTTATTTATGCCTGAGAAAACGCATGTTTTCAAGTGTGTAAAATATAGTCGCTAATTTCGCACGCTCGGGCATAAGCATCGCGGTCAAGCGGCCAAGGTGCAAGATTGACAAACACAGGTGTACAGGTTACTTTTGTTTCTTTTTTGTATTTATTTACTCAAGTTTTTAGTTTTTTGGTTTTGAGGCCAAATTAAAAAGAAAATTGTACTTTTGGCCAAAAACTAAATTTTATACTATAAAATACGATATAACAAAAAAGAAATCCGAGCGAAGCTATATAGGTACAAAAGATATATCATAATATATATAAAATATATTATGATATATAAAATATATTATGATATATCTTTTGTACCTGGTTTTTGCTTCTATGTTAAGTTTCTTCTTGTTATAAATTTATTTCTTTATTTAAATCTGTTATTATTTAAATCTTGTTTTAAAATTGGAGTTTATGATGTAGGCATTCGATTAAAAAGGATTTTTCTAAATTCATCCCTTATGTGGGTAAAATGGAGGATTAAAGATTGTATGAAATTCTGTCATTCTGAATGTGAAATACACAGAAAGTGGTGTTTAGCTATTACGAAAAAGAATAAAAATAGGTCTTTTTGCTTTTTTTCAAAATTCATCCCTTAAATGGGGTAAAAGGGGATAATAAAGTTTATATGGGCAAAAAATTATTTATGATTAGAATTACTTGAAACTTAGTATTAATGCTGTGTATTACAATTAAATAAGAATGTGTTTTGTCATTTTTTTAAATTGAATCCCATAAGAAGGTAAAATGGGGGATGAAAGTTTGTATGAAACTCTGTAATTAATGCACAGAAAGTCGTATTTACCCTTAAAATTAAACATAAAACAAAACAAATAAGTTGTATTATTTTTTGTATTTTTGTGGGAAAAGCTCCTTTTTCAGATTTCGTAGTCTTTCCTCTCTAGCAGTTGCATAAACTGGCAAAAACTTGGACTAAGGGAAAACAGATAGCACCGCATTCTTCTTTAACATTCGGTGTTGTAAATTAAAACCTGCAATTTAAACAATTATGGTAGTTTAATATATTATAAACTATCCTTACTTAACTTTTAACCTTATGTATCTGTAAAAGTTCCAATAGTAGGAAAAAGTACAAAAAACAAAAAAAAGAACACATATAAACGATTTAATAGTTTTAAAATCACTTTCTGTAAAATGATGTCCACATAGCTTTAAATATAAAGATTGCGATTTCGCCAATTTTGATCATCTCATTGAATTTGCCTTCAATTTTTTCAATAAATGATATCGGTCCATTTTTTTGCATCCTAGCACTGTACAATTTGTCATTTTAATTAAATTTTAAATAAAACGAAAAAATTAATTAAACATACTAGCAGGCACATTTTAGTAGGCAGCCCGGTTAAAACATACTTATTGTCCCTTTTATTATTGTATATAAAAAATTGATTTTGATTAAATACGCTATGAACGATTGGTAATCTTGCAACCGGATCTTAGTCCATATAGCTTATGATACTTGCGTTATCGAGACAAATCTAACAAAGTATGAATCATCAAAATAGTCCCACGCGTTTGGTCTCTAGAACGCCACATAAGAACAAACATACATATCTACATACATAGACTGATAAACACATCACCCTCCGCGCAGTCGGGTAAAAATACGACTGTATTTTCTACATTATTTAAAAAGTATATTAACCGCGTATATAAAATGACTTTATACCTATAGTTTTCAGTATGGTTCTTATTATGCTTGACTAATACTGATGTGAACTTCTCTATTTCTAATTAAGTAGCTGGGCGCTTTAAGCTCCAATGTATTAGGAGAAAAATATTTTGTTTATATAATTTAGTTATTATTTACAATTTATTTTAAGTGCGCAGATTTCTTATGGTTGACTTTGTATATTTTAACTTTTTATAACACTTTTTAAATAATATTATGTGTAATATATTTTTAAACATTTTTTTAACGTAGGGAAATGCATTGACGCATACCACCTACATTCATACACACTAAAACCCAATGGAATCTCTTCCGTTTTAATTGGGCGTTGCAGGATCCCTTATGCACTCAACTCAGGCCTGCCGAGGTAGACCACAACAACCATGGGATTGCTATCAGAGGAGTACCTGGAACCCCCCTCCCCTCCCCCTCCCCACATAGCACACCGCCCACCGAGGTGACCTGCCTCCCGGTGCGTTTTGTGACTTCGCACCCGGCTGGATTGCCGGATGCTGATGAGCCCACTCACTATGACATGAACCATATAACAAGAAACAAATTTTACATAAAGCTATCTATTATGTAGAATTTGTTTGTGAAGTACGTGTCAATTTGTAAGGTCCGAAATCAAATGTATTTTATCATTTCATATTTCGCTTGTATAATTTAATTCAAAAAAGAAAAATCTTATTTCATTTGTCACGAGGATTTGACGTGATTTTTCCAACATGCTATGTATTGTGCCCATGATGTGGGTGAGACTCGTCCGATATAAAGGACACCCTCGTTTTCGTTTGCACGAAATCTTTTTGATGGATGCTTTGAAAATCGTTTCAAAAAGTGATTTTATTGTTGCGACTGTTATGGCGTCAGAGCATTAGAATCATTGAAGTTATTTCTAACAGAATAACGTCCGTATTTTGCGTAATTCATTAAAAGTGATATTGAGAAAAAAAATCTTCTCGATTATTATTATTCATACCTCAGTAGGTTAGTTACCTAACGTAATAAAACATTTCGAAAATCTATTACAAACGCTATTTTAGTAAATAGTAAAATATGTATTTTATTCCTTATATTTTTTTTATTCCCAAGGAGGGTTGATGTCAGGCAGGCGACCGGTCGTAAAACTTTTGCCAAGATGTACCGCAGCCCCAAGTGATTGGGAAATGGGCAGGGAGATGATGATGATGAGTAAAATATGTATTGTGGTTGGTTAAATAATACATTAATTTTAATGTTTATAGTTAAATATAATTTACACTCAAGGCTTAAAAAACTAAGTCAAAGGTCAGCGTTGTGTTTTGGGCGGTTAAAGCGTATATCTGTTAAGCTTAGGTCACACAGCGAATACACTCGCAGCGACAATTCGCTGCCTGCCTGTCACACACAGCAAGTTCTATACGAGAATTTCGACAGTCTGTTGGTGCGCCAAATACAAATATGTCGTCTATTCGAATACGTCTAAAACAGTGTATTGAGTTGGCATGTGCAGAATAAGCAAGCCAAATGCTAATTAAGTACACAACTCACAAGAAGTGAAAATGGGTTTGTAAATGGATTGAACGCAGAGAACAGTTTGAGGCTTCTAATACTCTTTTAATCCCCCCACGACCGCAGACACGCCGGCGTGTTAGTTAATAATAGATTTCTTAGAATTTTAATTAATTTCTTAGAAATTTACCTGAAGGTGTTAAAAGAATTGGCTGCAGAGGAACCAGGAGATTACAGAAATGTTCTACTTATAACGACAGCGAAGTGTGTATGTAGCACGGACGTGTACCTAGTCTGGAGCACTAAGCAGAATGGCTACTCGCATCAAGTAAAATTGAACATGTTCAGGTCAAATCGCGGCTAATGAATCTATTCGCAGCGAATAGCGTGTCACACACAGCGAGTTCTAGTGTGACCGAGGCATTAGGCAGTTTAGTTGCTTACAAGATTAGGCAAATAGACCTGTGAAATTATCATTTTCATGTGTGAATCATTATAATATGATTACTGATATTAACGAGTACCTATTCGTTAATATCGTGAAGAAAAATATTTTGAGGAAATCTCCATATTTCGTTGTGGCTTAGTTGGTTAAAGCGCCTATCAAGTTAGGAGATCGCGAGTTCGAATCTTTTTGATGTGCCTTTCGATGAGAACTAACAGATGCAACAGCAAGAGAAACACTGATTACTTTTCATAGTTAGGAGAGTAATTATAGAAAAACAGCAAATTCAATTAATACGCCTTCAACTAGTGTAGAAAATTCGATTGAGACACATAGATTATTTTTAACATCAAGATAAAAGCGAAAGCAATCAATTTAATAAATGTTATGAGAAAAGAAAAATATTTGTCTTTATATTTTGCTAATATTCTATTTTAAGTACTTATGACACGTAGAATGTACTAGATGTACTATATTCGCAAAAATGTCATCGGCGCCGTGGCTTAGTTGGTTAAAGCGCCTGTCTAGTAAACAGGAGATCGTGAGTTCGAATCTCGCCGGGGCCTGCTGTTTATTTTTTGTTAATTATTTGTTTCAATTATTTTGATATTCGATACAAGTCTAGCTGGCCTTCACTGGGATGTTTAAATTTTATTTTGACGTACAAAAATATTGCTTCCCATACGAACTGTGGCATTTTTCATTTCTTATAGGATTAATTTAAAAAAAACTTTATTTTATCTTTTTTTCTCGAAATGTCAGCCCCTTAGATGTAATGGA